ATGATACTGGAGATCTGTGGAGGTGCGACTGCACCCTGCGTGACGGGAGATGATTGATTGATTGATGAAGATTAAGCCACTCAAGAGGTGGCACGGGCATGAATAGCCCGTAAGTGGTGGCCCTTCTGAGCCATTACCAGTATCAAGAGCTTGATACTGGAGATCTGTGGAGGTGCGACTGCACCCTGCGTGACGGGAGATGTCTCCCGTCGTGAATGTGTTAAGAGAGAGAGAGAGAAAGAGAAGATTAAGCCACCCAAAAGGTGGCTTGGGCATGAATAGCCCATAAGCGGTGGCCCTTTTGAGCCATTTCCAGTATCAATAGATGATACTGGAGATCTGTGGAGGTGCGACTGCACCCTGCGTGATGGGAGATGTCTCCCGTCGGGCCACACATCGATTGATGAAGATTAAGCCACCCAAAAGACCACACATCGATGATGATGATGAAGATTAAGCCACCCAAAACGTGGCACGGGCATGAATAGCCCATAAGTGGTGGCCCTTTTAAGCCATTACCAGTATCAAGAGCTGATACTGGAGATCTGTGGAGGTGCGAATGCACCCTGCATGATGGGAGATGTCTCCCTTATGAATGTGTTAAGATGAAGATTAAGCAACCCAAAAGGTGGCACGGGCATAAATAGCCCGTAAGTGGTGGCCATTTTAAGCCATTACCAGTATCAAGAGCTGATACTGGAGATCTGTGGAGGTGCGAATGCACCCTGCATGACGGGAGATGTCTCCCTTGTGAATGTGTTAAGATGAAGCCACCCAAAAGGTGGCACAGGCATGAATAGCTCGTAAGTGGTGGCCCTTTTGAGCCATCACCAGTATCAATAGATGATACTGGAGATCTGTGGAGGTGCGACTGCACCCTGCGTGACGGGAGATGTCTCCCGGACCAAATGGTGACCAGATGGTGTGTCGCCGGTGTGAATAGAACTGATTGTGTGTGTGATTGATTGATGATTGATGAAGATTAAGCCACCCAAAAGGTGGCACGGGCATGAATAGCCCATAAGTGGTGGCCCTTTTGAGCCATTTCCAGTATCAATAGATGATACTGGAGATCTGTGGAGGTGCGACTGCACCCTGCGTGACGGAAGATGTCTCTGGTGACCACACATCGATGATGATGAAGATTAAGCCACCCAAAAGGTGGCACGGGCATGAATAGCCCGTAAGTGGTGGCCATTTTAAGCCATTACCAGTATCAAGAGCTGATACTGGAGATCTGTGGAGGTGCGAATGCACCCTGCATGATGGGAGATGTCTCCCTTGTGAATGTGTTAAGATGAAGATGAAGCCACCCAATAGGTGGCACGGGCATGAATTGGTAAGTGGTGGCCCTTTTGAGCCATCACCAGTATCAATAGATGATACTGGAGATCTGTGGAGGTGCGTCTGCACCCAGCGTGACGGGAGATGTCTCCCGTGTTTTAAACAGATGAAGAAGATGAAGATGAAGCCACCCAAAAGATGGCACGGGCATGAATAGCTCGTAAGTGGTGGCCCTTTCGAGCCATCACCAGTATCAAGAGCTGATACTGGAGATCTGTGGAGGTGCAAGTGCACTAGCTCTGCGTGACGGGAGATGTCTCCCATGAATGTGTCCAAGATGACGATTAAACCATCGAAAAGGTGGCACGGGCATGAATAGCCCGTAAGTGGTGGCCCTTTTGAGCCATTACCAGTATCAAGAGCTGATACTGGAGATCTGTGGAGGTGCAACTGCACCCTGCGTGACGGGAGATGTCTCCCGGACCAAGTGTGTGGACCACACATCCCTGATACGTTGTTTAAATACTAAGATGGGGGGCAGGAGCCCTACACCCCACTATGCGTTTATGCAAGTATATAATTATCATGATAAAACGCTAATGCACGTATGGTCATTTAATACGCTTCTAGATAGACGTAAATACGAAGCATTTTGTATAACGAAGACACTATAAATGGTATAACTTAGGCACTGTGATAACAAGACACAAGAAATGAATTAGTATATTAATAGGGGCGTATAAATGAATACCGGTGTATTGTAAAGCAGAACTTATATCATAAGCGCTAGAGATCCTCCCACCCACGGTCAGAGATACATAAATGTATAATACTTGTCAACAATTGAGCCAAATTGTCAAAATGTTTACATTACCTGTTAAATGTAGGAATGAAGTGATGTTGGAGGCTTATAGATTAATCCTACACGTTGACTTCCATAATTATCAGTGATGGCACTACCGGGAAGCGACGGAGAGCGGGTTATAGCACAAATAAGTCACTGGTTGACCCGTGACGGAGGGCAACTGACCGCTGGTGACCTTGGGGAAGGTAAACATTAGTGCTAAACAACGCACACGACCACCCTAATTACTCTACTGGGGCGCATCCGATCCCACGATCGTCGTCGCCCCTAAATCAACACAACAACAACATTACTCTACTGGTATTTATTGCACGGGATAGCATGTCTTGTCATAAAATATATACAAAATATTAATATGCTGTCATAAGTGACGCCGATATACGAGAACAGAAGTAAATAAGTTTATAGTTATATTAAATCAATCTAATATGTCTTTTAAGGGAATATTTCTACATTGCAAATCAAATGTGGTAATGATCATATAATCATGTACCTACATACAAATTTTAGATAAGTAATTTTTTTAATGCGATTACTTGCAAAACTATAAATTTTTGATCACTAAACCATGGGTTACTTTTTATATACTCTAGTAATTAATTTAAATTTGCTCATTATATTGAAAAAAATCATCTGTATTAATTTGTATCGCTATATTATTACTGTTTCTTTAACAAAAGAAACCACGTTTCTTTAACAAACAAGTTAATGTTTATCGAAGTCTCACTATATTTCTGCGTTTTCAAAATTTATCTATATGAGAATATATTCAGATGCAACATATAACTAAACTAATGAAAACATAACCGGAGAGTTAGCACCATAATACAAGCATGTGGCTGTATTACTTTCTGTATCTTCCAGACATTTCAATATGAAAGGTCAAATAGACTCGTATGTAACACGGGAGACATCTCCCGTCACGCAGGGTGCAGTTGCACCTCCACAGATCTCCAGTATCAGCTCTTCATACTGGTAATGGCTCCAAAGGGCCACCACTTACGGGCTATTCATGCCCGTGCCACCTTTTGGGTGGCTTAATCTTCATCAATTAATCTTCGTACGCGATGGTGATACAGACTCACTCGTTAGTCTGTATCACCATTGCCATGGTCACGATGCTTCCAAATATATCACTACAGGAGCTTGTGTTCCTCACTGTATTGTACCACCACACAGAGTTCATGTATACTTCATTATACCACAATATAACTCATCATTTTCCCCGGATGTCTCTATAACGTCTGTGTATGTCACTGTACTGTGAGCATAATGGGTCCCGGGTGGGATAGAAGTGGTTGGGTGCATGTCATATCCCGTAATGCCCCCTGATTGATTGATTAATAAAGATTAAGCCACCCAAGAGGTGGCACGGGCATGAATAGCCCGTAAGTAATGCCCCCGTTTACCTAGCAGCAAGTAGGTACCCAGGCAGCCCGTCCTGCTAAGGTTTCCCAACATCAAGACATTGTTGTACTGAAGTGTCCTCTCCTAGCTTACCAGAGGATGTAATAGGTTAATTTCGCGAGCTGTCCCCATTTTCTAGTACTGTACAATGATTTTTGGCCTTAGGTAGAGAGTATACGTCCAATTGCGATGCGTTTTATTAGGGGTACGGGGGGGGGGTTGACCTGGGAGTTAGTCAGCTTGTGGGGTTGCATCCTGGGTTGGGGGGGGGGGGACCTCAATGTAAGCCTAACGTGTATAAATACGGTCTGGCTGCCTGTCCTCCGCTCAAGCAAAAATAAAAACGGAAGACCTTAGAGGTCTACGCTAACCCCATCAGCTCCATAATTGGTACATCCAGCCCTCCAGGGCTGAAAACCATCATGAAGACCCCCATCCATCCCTAGGTATCTAGTATCAGTTGTTGATACAGATAATGGCTCCAAAGAGCCTCCACTAATGGGCTCATTATAGCCCGTGCTACTTGGAACTTTTTTGTTCCAAGTATATATCAATTAGGTCAGTAATTGTTGACCCTCTCCAAAAATTGGTGGGTGTTGTATATATGCAAGGGGTGTTTCTGGTGAGTGCTGTATAACACACAAATCACAATAGCGTGATGCATCAAATGAACAAATCCACAAGGGCCGTGACGAGGGTTCAAACCTATGTCCAAGAGCATCCCAGACACTGCCTTAATCGACTGCGCTACGACATGGTAAAAGAATTGCAACCAAAAGTTTTACTGCCTTTACTTGGACCCTGCAGCCTCTCTGAGACACAAACCAGGATTTTATGCAATTTCCCCATGCACTCGAGCTCTGTCAATAGGTCGTTCTACCTCTTCGCCCTTACTTCATTACACACAGAAATAAATTACACACTTGTTGCAATTCTTTTACCATGTTGTTGCACAGTCGATTAAGACAGCGTCTGGGATGCTCTCGGAAGTAGGTTCGAACCCCTCGTCACGGCCCGTGTGAATTTATTCATTCGAGTACTGTATAGATTTGTGAGGGTTGGTGTAGATGGATGAGCACAGTGTAAATGGGCAAGCAGGTGGTGGATGGCATGGGTGTGTGAGACATTCTCAATATATATATCACACAGAACCCTCTTGGATAAAATTAACAAAAGTTACTGTACTACTGTATTGAGCTAAATGTCCAAATATCAAAAGAAGGTTCAGCTTAATCATACACATGGAAGTGTTGTAAGTTTCAAGTCAGTGCACAGAGGCATTATCAAGATATTGCATGCAAACCTTGTGGATAGAATGCAAATAAAAGTATCTAGGTAACTGCTGCACTGTTAAAAAAAAAAAAAGATGGGTGCAGCAACAGGTGAGCATCCAATATTGCCAGACCCAAATTTAACCCCTGAATTTTCTATTTGTTCTCTACAGCCACGGTATCAGGAAACACAGTGTGAAGAGCATTTATACCAGCTGGGACAGACTGTGGAATCTTACACGAGCCATTCTGTGGGTGGCCGCAGGGCCTCATCCATCTTGTTTACACCAGTGGCAGTTTTGTAAGCCATTAATCATTATTACCCTCATTTACAATTGTTATTATAAGGTGATAAATGGGCAGAGTATCAATATATTGTAACACAATATTATATTCGAGATCTTTTTAGTTTTGAATTCTAATTCATGCATCAAATAATAATATAGAATTTCACACTCATGGTATATACCACTAATATAGGTTTAAAATTGATGTGAGATACATCAATGAGCATCTAACTTTAAAACAAACCCAGGAAATTGCTTCATTGTGTCCGAACAATGATAAATATATATTTCCTGCTATTTTTAAGTATACTTTACTTAGTTTGAATACACAAATTCATCTTTTAATATTTCCAGTAAAATTTCAGCATCAGCAAGCTGAAGGTGTTTACCCCTTCCCCCTTTTTCTTTCTTCTGAAGGCCATGTTAGTCTAAATCTGGGAACTAGATTTTTCCATTTTCAATCTGATATTTGCTCGAATGATCTTGGTACACTAGACCAAAATTACATTACCGGAGAAGAAAAATGTTTTAATCTCATCATCTCCATCATGCTGGAAAGTTGCATAATTGTTAATTTAAAATTCCATTTGTAATATTTGCAGAAATATGAGACTTTTTGTACAGTGCTGCATAGCATATTTACATGATTAGTAAGCCTACATCTGCAGAAATAATACTAGGTTACATTATTTAAGATCCTTTTTTATAGTCCTATTGAATAGTATATGGACTCTCAAATCATTTAATAAACATTTTCAATTAATAACTTTATTTACTGTATTGTATTATAACGTTTTGTCAAATTTATTTTCTTGATATAGTATTTAAAGGTAAAAAATATTTACTGCTACAGGGTATACAATTAATTCCTTTGACTGCAACTACATATTCAGTGAATGCTATAAATTGCAAGAGTGGCATTATTGAATGAACACGTTTAGAGTTGAAGAAAATGTACTAGGCCCAGTTGATTATTCAGCACAATTTCAGCCTCAAAGAACAGTTATGGTCTGTATGGTCTATGAGGTAAGTTTTCCCAAGCCTCATAGAGCCAGATTCTGGTCCTGACAACCAGTACACAAAGGTCGGTCTCAAGAGGCCTGGTGCATCTCCCTAAGATGTTCAGCACACTGCTATCAGCACATAGCTGCAAGGTTATGGATTATTAAAAAACAAACAACAAAAAACAGATTTTTGCAATATCCAATGAATAAAATCTATTTGCATTAATTTTTTTTTAATAAAACCGCACAAAAACGTCTAAATTTTCTACTAGAATTTTCTTCTACAGTACTGTATTCCATCTTAAGTTAGTTATAATAAGATTTAGGCCCAAAACCAAGCACTGGAACCAACTAGTTATTCAGTGCCCAGTTTGTATGTCTGGTGTTTTCCACTTAAGGTTATAGATTTCCTTCCAACTTTGTTATACAGTACAGTACTGTACTTAGATTATAGCTTCATCTCGCTATCTTGTGTTTTCTCCATTATGATCCTTTTTTGTCATTACAATTTTCTTCTATCACTGCACCAGTCTGCTCCTTTATTTCATCTCTGGTCAAATTCTCTCTCTCTACTTGGTTAAGTGATTTGGTTTTTTTTTCTAAGAAAACTAACCCTGCACATTTGAATACAGATTAAAGTTATCCATTTCTATTAATACTGTACTTCACATTTAATAATTCTTAAAAATTTTATTACCTTTACCATATTACAATATCAAACAGAATAAATACAAATTCCTCTAGTTTTTTATGTAGTTTTATAATATTAATAGTATAAAGAAAACCACTTTTAATCTTTATTGTATTCAGTTTCCCATTACTGTTCATTGTTTTAATTGACTATAATTCCCAGCCTCATGACTGTGCACATCCTGTTAAAACCATGTTTAGTGCACTGGAGCTGCCCCCCACACTTTAGTGTCACTTTAACCTGCCCCCCACACTTTAGTGTCACTTTAACCTGCCCTCCACACTCTAGTGTCACTTTAACCTGCCCCCCACACTTTAGTGTCACTTTAACCTGCCCTCCATCAACATGAGGCCAACACATTGAGTATCCATTCTTTCATTCCTTTATCAATTCTCTCTTACTTTTGCTTTGCATTTATTGCCATCACTTTCCTTCCAAAATTATTCCTTATTTTATTATGTTCCTTATCCTTTCTTCCTGATGTATTTTCTTCATTTTATTCTCCACCTTATCTGCCTTTGTTCTAGTATATGTCCTGAAGCTTCACTCCTGCGCCTCTTTTAAAATGTTTCAAAATAAAAGAGTGTGGTAGGTGTTATGTATGTCTAAGATTAATGTAATGTAGTACATTAATATATATAAAGCTTTACTTTGTATATTTAATTGCATAAAAATATTAGTACTGTAGCTAGATGTATACAGATTTTAAAAGTGCAATATTATCCAATGCTGGTAGGTGCTTAATCTTGATATCTGAAGTTAAAAGCTTTATTCAATATAACTAAAGTTGTTTCTAATGCAAAATGTATTGTAAATTTCTAAAATATATTGTGCTTATTGAAATGTATGTTTAATTTTCCTGTGATTTTTGTACTTTGCTTATTTGTTTATTGTTCGCCTCTGTTCACTTAGCAATAACTGGAAACGTGGTTGTAAACTGATTGGTATGTTATGTTCCAGGGAAACTAACATGGTACAGCTTCATGCAAGGTATGGGGAAGGAGCCTGCTACAAAAAAAAAAAAAACAAGTAGTTATGTTCCAATACCCACCAGTATACATACTGAGTGAAAAGTTTGTCAACAAATTTCCAAAATGCAAGACTATATCACATACAGCATCCCTGTGCTCCTCAAATTTAAGTTGGTTAAAATTGTGCCAAATTTTGTGTAAGACAAAAGTGTGCCCAAACCTGTATTGCACAGAACTGAGGCAGAACTTGTTGTGTAAGTTGCCTGAATTAGTGTTGGGTAAGTGAATCCAAGTTTGATAAGCAAAGTGTGCATAAATTTGGCTAAATGTAGAACTAAATTCACTCCAATATGGTTTCAAATTAACCACAATATGGATTAAAATTCACTAGGATGTGTAGCTAATTAGCAACAATAAGGGGCCAAATTTGCTCAAATATGAAGTCAAATCAGCAATGATTGTAATGAAATGCCAGTTTCTGGGCGAACCCCAGAGGCTTCCTGACACCCTCAATCCGGTCGGCAACTTTCACCATTCAAGAACTGACTGGTGGCAGCCCGGCTCCCCTTCCCTCCTGTAGGGGTGGGGGTGGAGCTAACGAATGGGGGGGGTTGGTTGGACGAAGCTTGGTTTTCTTTGTGGGGAAGTTCTTTTGATATTTTGAGGACGTAGGTCTCAATTTTCAATAGTACTGTAGTTTGTTTTGATTCTCCTACCTTTTTGGATGCTTCCCTGGTTGATGGTAAGATGATAAACTTTAAATGTAAAGTGTTCATGAGCCATTGCTCCCCGTACCTCTGTTTGGGGTGCCGGGGTTCTGGCTCTAGTCCCCAGTAGGCATAAGAACTCTGCGACTGATGAACCCCCAAGTGTGTGTGGCACTTGATCAGTATGCTAGCTTCAGGGAGTCGAAAGGGCTCCCCACAGAAAATTTATTTAAAATATGGAGCTAAATTCACCTAAATATACAGTAGAACTAATTTTGACCTAACATGGAGACAAATTTATCTGAATATGGAGCAAAATTCACCTGAACATGAAACTAAATTCACCCAAATATGAAGCAAATTTCTCCTCAATATGAAGCCAAATTAACCAGAATATGTAGGGAAATTAGCCCCACTATGGAGTTGAATTTGCCCCAATGTGGAGCAGAATTGCCAACAACCAACTAAATATCTGCACAATGTTAAGTACAACAGGCTGATTCTGACTGAACCTATGGACAATTGAACACTAAGCTCTTACTACTCAATGCTCCCTGGAAGAATCACATCTCTCCCACTGGACATGCTGCTCACAGCTTGTACATTACTATATTAACTAGTGCCACTTTGCAGCTTATTGTAGAATATATAGTCACTAATTATGGTGTGATTTAATTCCCCTTACATAAGTTACATAAGTTAACTACAAGTGAAATATGATAAAAATATAGTCATAATTCCTACACGCAGAGTAACCACCAATTTAAATGTGATGTATACAAACACTTGCCATCAATTGTGTATATTTTGTTTTATACAATTCTATAAAAATATTACTTTACAGTCCCTTTGTTTCCAATTTTTCAATTCAGAATGTTATGCTTCACAGTCCAAAAGTATAATTTTCCTTTCATTATATTGAAAATTATACATATGGGAGGGGGGGGGGAGAGGGGAATCTATAACTATTTAACATGTAAGTGTGCTTGCTTAGTTAAAGATTTACAGGAAATGAATGTTTAAATTATAGAGTTGTTGCACCTGACCCAGTCATATTAGAAAGCACACAATACAGATTTATTATACAATATATAAATTTAAACAAATTTAACACCAGGAAAATCATACAAATGACATGTCACGTATTGTTATTAATGTCTAATTTACACAGTTTCTCACTAGATGCTGATGCATCCTACTTAGTAAATAAAAGTAAAACCAATGGCTTTTGCACAATTATGCAAATTTTACCCATTGGCCAATATGTGAACTAATCTTAGCAAAATCTAACAAGGTCTAAAATTTGCACCTAGCGCAATGTTATACCATAATGCATCAAATTTGTTTTCCCCACATTCACACATAATGTGAAATAAAATCTACCCACTGACACATCCATTTCACACACTTGCAAACTCCCACTCACATTGTCTTCAGACCACATGGGTCAAAATTATGACTAATTTGTGGGTTCTATTTTGTGTGTACTTTTGGAAACTTACTAATTCTAAATGTCTGTAAAATGAATCTTCACTTTAAAATTAACAAAATTGCACTCTTCTTCACAACACGTCACTCCTACAGAAATACCCACATTTAAAATTGTTCTGCCTTTGCAACACAAATTCACGTCATACAAATCAAGATAATTAACTCTTAGGCAGCGTTATCGTCATAACTTGATTCACGGGGTAATACCGTTTTTGTCACATGAGGATTATCATCTGTGGGGGCACATTGGTGGCTTACGCCTTTGTTTAATTTATACTCTCGCCCATATGCATATGGTGCCAATTAGGCCATTTGTCATGGCCCAGAGCCCAACACCATTGAATATTATGTTCATATCCTTTTCACTACTCTATATGCTTGCAATGGAGTATACCAGATAAACTAACCATCAATTGAAGCATTATCGTTTGTTATGTGAATTATGTGATTTACCGAGTTATTCAACAAACACTCTTGTAAATAGAGAAATAAATGTGAAACATTGGAGAATAACACAGAAAGTGTCAGCAAAGTCGAACACGAGGCAGTGACAGGCGCCAGACACAGCCACCACGCCACTTGCCTGAGCGCCACCACCCAATAAAATGACAAATAATATTCACTTATTTAAGTGTTTTTCTTACATTTGGAATACAAATGAATAATTTTATAATGAAAGTATATATATATATATATATATATATATATATATATATATATATATATATATATATATATATATATATATATATATATATATATATATATATATATATCTATCTATCTATCTATCTATCTACATCTAGAGGTTATCTTGAGATGATTTCGGGCTTAGTGTCCCCGCGGCCCGGTCCTCGACCTGGCCTCACTCCTAGGAAGCAGCCCGTGACAGCTGACTAACTCCCAGGTACCTATTTACTGCTAGATAACATATATATTATATATATATATATATATATATATATATTATACTGTATATTGCGCATAAGCAGGCATGACCATTTTCTAATAGTCGCTGCCCAAGGGTTAATTATATACAGTATTACACAATTATAGCATACATATTTGAAATATCTATTCTTAGATAAAACTGTGTAATGCTAGTATACTATCCATGGTGCCATGAAATTTGCCTAGTAAAAAACTCAGAATGAAGAAATAAATATAAAAATTTCATACCAAATATGAAACCAATATGATTTTCAGTCACTGAAAGTCAAGGCTAAGGCTTTGCTGGCAGTATGATTTAGGAGAAGGCAATGGGTTTTACCTGTAATATCCCTTCATTAGCCAATGCTTCCTTACTTCAAAGATCATTTATGCCCTTTAGTTTTAATAGGTAAGCTTAATTTAAACATGGTTTAAAATTTCTTAACACGTCTTGCATTTAATATAAGAAAAAGACAATGGCCCGGCTCTCCAGGTACTTAATAAATAAGACTAAAGTGACATGAGAGAAGGTAGAAAACTTGTTTAAGACATTCTCGAGATGAAATTAAAAATAATAAATACACAAATTAACTCGCAGTTTATGAGATATTGGTACCAGAATATACATCTTGATACAAAAATTATATGCTTTATAATCAAATGAAAATATATAAATAAAAGGAACTTACATCATCCAAAATTACTGGAGCAAATTATTTAATCCGTCCTCGTATCTCTACTGAACTGAACTAGTTTCAGCTCCAAATAAGAGCCAAATATCATGCAGGTAGGAAAAGCTTGAAAGAAAAAAGAAAATTCAACATGTGAGAAACTCCATTACTAATTAAATTTCGAAGTACTGTACACTGTAAAGTTATACTGTACCTTATTTGGAGCTGCCAAAATATACAATTTAGGCAAATTAATTGCATCTTTATGTCCTTCCTAACAATAAATTTTCACTAACGCTGCATATATTTATATACTGTGTAATCATATCAATTTTGCAGGAATACTTTCAGAAGAGCAGAGGCCTTCCTAAAGAACCTTGTATCTTCCTTGAGCCTTTACAGGACCTGCACTAGTTCTCAGTTTCACAAGTTCTTCACGTATTAATCGAATGATTTCAGCTTTCGCTTTAGACACAGCTAACTCGGATGTAGATTCAATAGCTAAGAAGAGTTTGCGCTCCCCTTCGGGCGGATTTTTACCCTGAAAAAGATAAACAAACATAAGTAAGCTGCAGAATGATAATACTGCAAATTGGAAGTGTTTATAATACAGTTTACGTAAACTTACTTATCTTTGTCAATCAATTAACTGAAACTCATATTAAAATGTGCTACCTGTTTCGCCAACATACTACAAAGACACAAGGTACATACCGCTGGACAGAATGTTCCTCTTACTGTTATTCCAGCTTCGGAATATTCAGAGATTTGGGCCAGAGCTTCCTTACTCGTTACTCGCCACCTGAAATGTGGATAATCATCACAAGACTGGCACAACAAAGCTAGAATAAATAACAATGCCAAAACCACTCTTTGTGGACGAATCATTATATTAACATTTCTACACAAAATATTATAGGAAAAGCAGTAAAATATATTCTTCATACAAGAGCATAGACAAATGGGAGTAATGGGAGGCTTTAACAAAAAATTATAAAACAGTTACACAAACATCTCACATAATAAAAGCTTTAAGAGTGACTAGGACTCAAATTTACAGTTTCATGGAAAATAGTGAACTTCATAACCCAGGACAACAGGGATTTAGGGCGGGAAGATCCTGTCACAGTTACTCAATCACTATGACAAAATCACAGAAACTTTAGAAGAAAAATAAAATGCAGATGTGGTAGACACAAGACTGTGCAAAAGTATTCAATAAATGTGACTAAGGAGTGACAGCCCATGAGATCATTAGGAATAACGGCTAAAGTATCTGTAAAGATACGGATACGGGGGTAGTTGGATTTTCAACTTTCTGTCAAACAGAATTCAAAGAGTAACAGCCAATCAAATAAGATCAAGCCCAAGTGCAGTTACAAGCTCTGTACCCCAGGGTACAGTCCTAGCACCACTGCAATTTCTCATTCACATCTCAGATTTAGACAAAAATACTAGCTAGTTACAGCTTTGTGTCATCCTTTGCAAATGATACAAAAATCAACATGAAAATTTCCTCTGTAGAAGACACTAAAAAACTTCAAGCTGAGATAAATGAAAACTTTGATTGGGCAACTGAAAATAGTATGATGATTAATGGTGATAAGTTTCATGTACTTAGGTATAGTGGAAACGAGGAACGTAAATGAAACACATAGTACAGGACACAATCAGACTTAATCATACAATGAAAGCAACATGTAAAAGATCTGGGAATTATGTCTGATGATCTGACATTTAGTGAACATAACCGAGCAAATATAGAGACAGCCAGGAAAATGATAAAATGGATTATGAGAATGTTCAAATACAGAGACCCCACAGCAATACCAATACCAGTATCCACTCGATTTAACGGCCTCTTTTATACCGATCTGTTGGTAATAACGACCGATTTGGGACACAAGTATCTGGAGCCTCATATACTGGTCAGGCGGTCGATATTGGATTTGTTTTGGTATAAGCAGGCCCTCACATGACAACAGGCCAGCGACCTCCAAGGCATTGAGGGAGGGATGGGAGGCAGTGATTGATGGAGGGAAGGCAATGAGGGGAGAGGCAGGGAGTGATAGAAGCAGTGAGGGAGGGAAAAAAATTAAGCAATAATGAGACCCAACAAGCGAGAAGTCTCGCTTGTTGGGTCTCATATACTGTATAGGAATATTCAATCAATTCAATTTCAACAATAAGAGGATTGACTGGGAAAAAATAAATGTAGACCTTGCAACCATTCAATGGGAGACAGTCTTAAGCGACAAAACTCCCACACAGGGAATAGCTCAACTGACAGCTGAAGCTTACAAGGTCTGCTTGAAGCACGTGCCTGTGAGGAGGGGCAGAAAGAGGACCACTCTAGAAAGAGAATGCAAACGACTGTACAGGAGAAGGAAAAAAATAACGGAAATGCTTCAGCAGACACAACTATCACAAGCAAGGAAAATAAGCCTAAGCAGGGAGATCGAAGAAATAGAACAAACGTTGAAGCGATCATATGAGTCTGAGGAAATGGAATTGGAACAGAGAGCTATACAAGAGATAAGGAAAAATCTGAAATATTTTTTCACATACGCAAAATCAAAATCCAAAACCTTGACCAGTATTGGACCGTTAATTACAAATGAAGATACGTACATAAAGGACAACAAAGAGATTAGTGAAATTCTAAGAAGCCAGTATGAGGCTATGTTTAGCACACCAATAAACAACATGAAAGTTGATGACCCAGACGGCGCCTTTATGAATGACATTCAAGCTGCAGATAATATAACGGATATTACCACAAACTCGGAAGACTTTGAAAGAGAAATTGACAATATGCCTATGCACTCAGCTCCTGGGCCTGACTCATGGAATTCAATATTCATAAAGAAATGTAAAGTACCAGTAGCGAGAGCACTCGGCGTAATATGGAGAAAGAGCCTGGATACAGGGGAGATACCAGCAGCACTTAAATCTGCAGATATTGCTCCATTGCACAAGAGGGGGAGTAAAGCCTTTGCCAAAAATTATAGGCCAGTTGCACTAACATCACACATAATAAAAGTGTTTGAAAGAGTGATTAGGAATCAAATTTCTAGTTTTATGGAAAACAATGAATTGCACAATCCAGGACAACATGGATTTAGAGCAGGAAGATCCTGTCTGTCACAGTTACTCAACCACTATGACAAAATCACAGAAGCCCTAGAAGAAAAGCAAAATGCAGATGGTGTATACACAGACTTTGCAAAGGCGTTCGGCAAATGTTACCATGGGGTGATAGCTCACAGAATGAGGTCAATGGAAATAACTGGAAAAGTAGGACGCTGGATACTCAATTTCCTGTTGAACAGAACACAAAGAGTAACAGTCAATCAGATAAAATCGAGTCCAAGCGATGTTAAAAGCTCTGTACCTCAAGGTACAGTCCTTGCACCGCTACTGTTCCTTATTCTCATATCTGATATAGACAAAAATACACGTCACAGCTTCGTGTCGTCCTTTGCATTTGACACAAAAATCAGCATGAAAATTACCTCTGCTGAAGACATTGAAAAACTACAAACAGATGTCAACAAAGTTTTCGATTGGGCAGCAGAAAAAACATGATGTTTAACAGTGATAAATTTCAGGTACTCAGGTACGGCAAATATGAGGATCTGAAACATAATACAGGGTACAAAACACAATCGAATCTTCCCATAGTAGAAAAACAGCATGTCAAGGATTTGGGAATAATGATGTCCGACGATCTAACGTTTAGGGAGCATAACCAAGCAAATATCGCGTCGGCAAGAAAAATGATCGGATGGATTACGAGAACTTTCAAATCCAGGGATCCCATCATAATGGTTGTACTCTTCAAGTCACTTGTGTTGTCCTGTCTCGAGTACTGCTCAGTACTCACTTCCCCCTTCAGAGCAGGAGAGATTGCTGAAATAGAGGGAATGCAGAGAACATATACGGCACGCATAGACGAGATAAAACACCTAAATTATTGGGATCGTCTCAAAGCTTTCCAAATGTACTCTCTAGAAAGGAGACGAGAGAGATACCAAATAATATACACATGGAAAATACTGGAGGGCCAGGTCCCAAATCTACGCAGTAAAATAACAACGTACTGGAGTGAACGATATGGAAGAAAATGCAAGATTGAACCAGTGAATAGCAGAGGTGCCATAGGCACAATCAGAGAGCACTGTATAAACATCATAGGTCCGCGGTTGTTCAACGTCCTCCCAGCGACTATAAGAAATATTGCCGGAACAACCGTGGACATCTTCAAGAGAAAACTGGACTGTTTTCTAAGAGAAGTTCCGGATGAGCCGGGCTGTGGTGGGTATGTGGCCCTGCGGGCCGCTCCAAGCAACAGCCTGGTGGACCAAACTCTCACAAGTCGAGCCTGGCCTTGGGCCGGGCTTGGGGAGTAGAAGAACTCCCAGAACCCCATCAACCAGGTATCAAGCAGGGGATAGGGAGTGTTGGGTGTGTGGTATGGTGTGGTGGGGTAGGGGGTGTTGGGTGTGTTGTATGGTGTGGTGGGGTAGGGGGTGTTGGGTGTGTGGTATGGTGTGGTGGGGTAGGGGGTGTTGGATGTGTGGTTGGAGGTGGGGGGATGGGGTGTGGTGGGGTAGGGGGTGCTGGGTGTGTGGTTGGAGGTAAGGGGAAGGGGTGTGGTGGGGTAGGGTGTGTTTGATGTGTGGTTGGAGGTGAGGAGATGGGGTGTGGTGGGGTAGAGGGTGTTGGGTGTGTGGTTGGAGGTGGGGAGATGGGGTGTTGTGAGGTGGGAGAGGGGTGTAAGGGTGTGGTTGGGGGGTAGGAGGGGAAATTGGAGGATGGCACCTAAAATGTCTTACCTAGCTTGCTGTGGGAAGTCATTAATTTCAAGTTCTTCCTCATACTTGTGATGAGTCTCTTCTGCAGTCTCTTCCTCCTCCTCTTGATCATCACGGGGCTGATAGTTCAACTTATTATTCAATTTTTGTGCCATCTGAGAAAAGATATCTAATTAGTGGCTATCAGACATTTTAAAGTTAACAATTTGTTGTTACACTCACTTTGAGTTTCTAATTTGGAAAATGTGCAAATATGAGTCCTCCTCCTAAAATGAAAGTACTTGTAGGAGTGATGTGGTTGAAAGTACAAATATGTCATGATGGACCACCAGAAAGTAGACTTTCGTATTACTGAATTTGGATAAATTGAAAAATGTTTTATATTTAATTGCTAGTAAGACCTAACTGAATCCAACCATTCTAGACCTAATACACTCTATTCTGAGACCTAATATATCAACCCATTCTCGCAAATTTAATAAGTCAATATTGACTTATTAAATATGTGCATAGGTGACATACTTAACATAATAGATACCCTTAAAAAGATTCATAGAAAACACCGACCTTACCTAACCTACTTAGTATGTTAAGATAAGCATCTTATTGCTTCGTAATTACAATTATTACCTAACCTATAATAGGTATAGGTTAAGTAATAATTGTAATTACGAAGCAATAAGATGCTTATCTTAAGATACTAACAAGGTTAGGTAAGGTCGGTGTTTTCTATGAATCTTTTTAAGGGTATCTATAATGTTTAGTATATCACCTATGCACGTAGTTAATAAGTCAATATTGACCTTACGAATTTGTGAGAACGGGTTGAATATATATATATTTTTTATTTTTCTATTTGTAATCACAAGAATTTTTACATTTTTGTACAGCCACTAGCACGCATAGCGTTTCTGGCAAGTCCTTAATCCTAATTTTCCCTGGAATATGACCCGCCAAATCCTGTAACAACCAAGTAACTATTCACTGCTGGGTGAACAGAGACTACAGTTAAGGATAGGTGCCTAGTCAATCCTTACCAGTCAGGATATGAACCAAGGCCAAATCGCTCACAAAGCACCAAGCGAGTGTTTTACCACTGCACCACGGGGACTGCTTAGTAATATGTAATAAATATATAAATATAAATATATATATATATATATATATATATATATATATATATATATATATATATATATATATATATATATATATATATATATATATGTGCTATACTAGGAATATTTAAGTTTGGTTTTAGTTTTAGTTTTTTCCAGACTATAAAAGTGAGACTTACTGGAGCTCCAATACTACACATAGTATTACTACTGACTCAATAGTTACAAAAAGTGTTATCATTTCAGGAGGACAGGTTGAAATATTGTTATCATATTTGGTAAACATGCACTACTTTTGAGAAAAAAAATTAAAGCAATTGTCAGGAAATGGGATATTACACAGAGCAACAACCAAAACTGCGAGTCGACTCGCAGACGACATTTATAAAGCTCGGCACAACAATATTTTCTTAATCCTTTGGCTATGCTAATTCCACTGACATATAAGTTAGGGACAAGGGAGGCTGTACCTGTTCTGCAACAGTCTTGGCAGATATGGTGGGTTGCATAGCTGCTCCGCCCTTGAGAATAAACTCTGCAGCCTGCTGACTGGCACCTTTGGCCTCCTTGCCAATGTTATGTTGAAGATTGATGCGCTGAGCCAATTTACGAGCCAGTTCCAACTTGTCGGAGGCAGAAGGACCACCGAGGGAGATGCCCGACATGCTATCCCCTTGCGTTGAAGACACGTCAGGAGCCTGTCGAAATGTGAAAGCCTTCGAAAGATGTTATAACAAATTTATAAACTTGTTACCCAACCTGCTGTACATACTTTCTTTAAAAATACAATGTCACTGACTATATTTTAGTTGGTTATCTAATATAATCTCATAAAAAATCAAAATTATTTCACACTGCAAAATTATTTCAAACTGGTTATAGAAACATATATAACAGACACATCATGCAGATCTATTTTAGTACTAACATTAACGTACACACATAAAAAAACATTTAAGTGCTTCAAAATTTAACATTTACAATTTACTCTTCATCTTCACATGCACAAAAGACATCATCAACACTCGCCAAACAAGACAGATGAAGCTGTGTAAAACCAACCACTGGACAAAAAGGACAATGAACACCACTAACCACCTTAATTTCCTTGACTGTCCTCTTTGTGTTTAGCATACTCTCAATCTGCTGGTCAATGTCCTGCTCAATGTCCTCGTCATCAGAGTCGGCAAGACCCAGGGCAGCTTTTTCAAATTTCTTCTTCTCCGAGGCAAAGTTTGCCTCAGATTCATCAAACTTGTAGCCTTTGCCATGGAAACCCCCGCCGGTTTTCACTTTTTTCCCCTCTCCTTCCATTTTCTGCTTATATTCATCATAGAATTTCTGAGGAAAAAACAAAACAAAAATCAATTCTGTTCCTCCTATATAAATTTCAAAGCCAAATGAGTTGAGATTGTAGTTGATCAAGAGAGAAATCTATGGGATGTAATACTTCAGTACAAGAAATTAGTACAGTACTGTAGTAATGTACTGTAGTGTAACAACCCAACCCACACGTATGAAATGAAATGAAAGTGTTAACATTTCAGCCCCATTCTGGACTCTTATTAAGGTCAGCTGGTAACAGTTCAAGAATCAATTCAATTTCTTTCTTTATTATGCACCCCATACCCATCCAGCGGGCGGTAGTGTAAAGGATTACAGAGGCACATAATCGGTTCAGGAACTGAACCCTCTAGTTCGTTTAGCTAAGCAAATAACAAATTAAAAAATGTCACATTCATTTAATTACATGTGTGAGTTGGATTATTTGTTTTAAAGTTACCTTATTGTGGCTTTTTATCTGCATAATATAATGAGTACTGCAGGTGCAATTATACAGGCTGCAGTAATAAGTACAGGAAACATAAAGAGTAAAATACAGGGAATATGATGAATTTTAGGTGGAGCTATGACCACAGGATGCAACAATAAGGGGGAGGGGGGAGGTTATCTTGAGATGATTTCGGGGCTTTAGTGTCCCCGCGGCCGGTCCTCGACCAGGCCTCCACCCCCAGGAAACAGCCCGTGACAGCTGACTAACACCCAGGTACCTATTTTACTGCTAGGTAACAGGGGCATAGGGTGAAAGAAACTCTGCCCATTGTTTCTCGCCGGTGCCTGGGATCGAACCCAGGACCACAGGATCACAAGTCCAGCGTGCTGTCCGCTCGGCCGACCGGCTCCACTCCCCACTTTCCCCTCCCCTCCCGGGGAGGGGAAAGAAGAGGTACTGTATGGGGAATAGAGTGGTAACAATAATGGAGATTGTACCTGGTACCTGGATTGTACCTGAATGGGGTTCTGGGAGTTGTTCTATTCCCCAAACCCAGCCCAGGGGCCAAGCTTGACTTGTGTAAGATGATAGATGATGAGAGATGATAACTAATGGAGGATATAGTAATTATGATGGTAATGGTGGTGGTGATGGTGATAGTAATGAGGAGATTGGTGATAGTTACAATAGCACAGTAGCAATGATACTGGGACAAGTGTCCTACCAACTACCCATTTTGGTTCAGTGTGTACTTAACTACTTCTGTGAAACTTTGATTTGTTATTGTATCTGCTCTTCAATTAGTGATTGTCTTTCCAGTTTCCACAAATGTCCTTATGATCTACTTTTTTTTTAAATAAAGAGGCTATATTTATTTGCCTCGTATACTTCTTGCAATTGGAGGGGATGTGGTTAATGTTCTGGTGTTGGGGAGGGAAGGGGGGGGGCAGGGGTGCTGCACAGTGCTGGGAGGGGGGGGCAGGGCTGCTGCACGGTGCTAGGGGGGGGGGATTGTTGTACTGGAGTTGGGGAGGGAGGGAGGGGGGTGATTGTTGTATTGGTTAGGGAGGGAGGGGGTGATTGTTGTATTGGTTAGGGAGGGAGGGGGGGTGATTGTTGTATTGGTTAGGGAGGGAGGGGGGTGATTGTTGTATTGGTTAGGGAGGGAGGGGGGTGATTGTTGTACTGGTGTTGGGGAGGGAGGGGGGGGGGTGATTGCTGTACTGGTGTTGGGGAGGGAGGGGGGGGGGGGTGATTGCTGTACTGGTGTTGGGGAGGGAGGGAGGGGGGGGGTGACTGCTGTACTGGTGTTGGGGAGGGAGGGGGGGGGGGTGATTGTTGTACTGGTGTTGGGGAGGGAGGGGGGGGGGTGATTGCTGTACTGGTGTTGGGGAGGGAGGGAGGGGGGGGGGGGTGACTGCTGTACTGGTGTTGGGGAGGGAGGGGGGGGGTGATTGTTGTACTGGTGTTGGGGAGGGACGGGGGGGGGGGGGGGTGATTGCTGTACTGGTGTTGGGGAGGGAGGGGGGGGGGTGATTGTTGTACTGGTGTTGGGGAGGGACGGGGGGGGGGGTGATTGCTGTACTGGTGTTGGGGAGGGAGGGAGGGGGGTGATTGCTGTACTGGTGTTGGGGAGGGAGGGAGGGGGGGGTGACTGCTGTACTGGTGTTGGGGAGGGAGGGGGGGGGGGGGGGGAGGGAGTGATTGCTGTACTGGTGTTGGGGAGGGAGGGAGGGAGGGGGTGATTGCTGTACTGGTGTTGGGGAGGGGGGGGGTGATTGCTGTACTGGTGTTGGGGAGGGAGGGGGGGGGGGGGGTGATTGCTGTACTGGTGTTGGGGAGGGGGGGGGGGGGGATGATTGCTGTACTGGTGTTGGGGAGGGAGGGAGGGGGGGGTGACTGCTGTACTGGTGTTGGGGAGGGAGGGAGGGGGGTGATTGCTGTACTGGTGTTGGGGAGGGAGGGAGGGGGGGGGGGGGTGACTGCTGTACTGGTGTTGGGGAGGGAGGGAGGGGGGGGGTGACTGCTGTACTGGTGTTGGGGAGGGGGGGTGATTGCTGTACTGGTGTTGGGGAGGGAGGGAGGGGGGGGGGGGTGACTGCTGTACTGGTGTTGGGGAGGGGGGGGGTGATTGCTGTACTGGTGTTGGGGAGGGAGGGAGGGGGGGGGGGGTGACTGCTGTACTGGTGTTGGGGAGGGGGGGGGGTGATTGCTGTACTGGTGTTGGGGAGGGGGGGGTGATTGCTGTACTGGTGTTGGGGAGGGAGGGGGGGGTGACTGCTGTACTGGTGTTGGGGAGGGGGGGGGGGTGACTGCTGTACTGGTGTTGGGGAGGGAGGGGGGGGTGATTGCTGTACTGGTGTTGGGGAGGGGGGGGTGACTGCTGTACTGGTGTTGGGGAGGGAGGGGGGGGGTGATTGCTGTACTGGTGTTGGGGAGGGGGGGGGGTGACTGCTGTACTGGTGTTGGGGAGGGAGGGGGGGGGGTGATTGCTGTACTGGTGTTGGGGAGGGGGGGGTGATTGCTGTACTGGTGTTGGGGAGGGAGGGGGGGGTGACTGCTGTACTGGTGTTGGGGAGGGAGGGAGGGGGGGGGGTGATTGTTGTACTGGTGTTGGGGAGGGAGGGGGGGGGTGATTGTTGTACTGGTGTTGGGGAGGGAGGGGGGGGGGGTGATTGCTGTATGGTGTTGGGGAGGGGGGGGGGGTGACTGCTGTACTGGTGTTGGGGAGGGAGGGGGGGGGGTGATTGCTGTACTAGTGTTGGGGAGGGAGGGAGGGGGGGTGATTGCTGTACTAGTGTTGGGGAGGGAGGGAGGGGGGGGGGGGGTGATTGCTGTACTGGTGTTGGGGAAGGAGGGAGGGGGGGGGTGATTGCTGTACTGGTGTTGGGGAGGGAGGGAGGGGGGGTGATTGCTGTACTAGTGTTGGGGAAGGAGGGAGGGGGGGGTGATTGCTGTACTGGTGTTGGGGAAGGAGGGAGGGGGGGGTGATTGCTGTACTGGTGTTGGGGAGGGAGGGAGGGGGTGTCTGACCGCCTCCGATGCGGTCAGCTCTGCCCATATGCTGTGCATATTAGTGATTCAATAATATATACACTATTTACACATGCTATATATAAGTATCTGCATGTTTTGTTCACCATAACTAACCACTAAGTTGGTATGGTGAGTCAAAACAACAACAACGAGTGACCTCCACACACCAGCCAGCAAATGCCGCCACCTCCCCTCCCTCAAAAACACCTCACTCGCCAAGATTTCTACTCCCACCATAATGTTTTTGCTATTATTCATTATATACAGATGTTATATATAAGTATCTACATGTTTTGTTCACCATAACTGTACAACTAAGCTGGTATGGTGAGTTCAGACAATAATAGAGGTCACCACAGTCAGCTGATGCTCCCTCCCAAAATAGCTGCCAGGTGATGGTGATGCCAGGACAGCTGGCATGTCCAGAACCAAAATGGCTCCGCCCAACATACTCCTTTTGCTGTTATTACACTGTATATATACATTATATTTAAGTGCCTGTATATACATTTGTGTTCACCATAGCGAACCACTAAGTTGGTATGGTGAGTCCAGACAATAACAGGTTGCCACACAGAGTCAGCAGACGACGCTACCTGCCTCCTCGCCAAGATTACTCCTCCCACCATTACTCACAGCACTAATTATCACCACAATCCTGCTCTTATCAGAATCCTGGTCATTTTTATCACAGTCAGGGGTCTTCTCTAATACTATCATCGCTAAATAATAGCAGGTACATGTATATTTTGACATTTTTAGGCGATGCTGTGGTCACAAGCTAAACAGCAGTGCTGTTAGCTCATGCTACGTGCACCGCCAGGCTCACTCAGTACTGAAGCTCTCACACCCGGGAATGTTACCCACGATTTTTTTTAAATGGCATCTATTTACTAGCGCCCTGAGGAAGCTTGTGTAAACCCTGTGTAACTGCGGGACATTTAAATCGTGTGTAGCACCCTCAGTTGTATGTACGTACCATATGCGCAGTTCAGCAACATTTACTCAAATTAAACATATACAGTATATACAATTTGTGCAGTTGAACTTCAGGATGAAGTTCAAAGTAAGTGGCATTTGACAATACTACATTATGAGGAAATACTTTGTCAATTCTGTCAGACCACTGATCACTCATATTAATCACTGTACAATTTAACTGCTCAAAATATACTGTACACAACTACACACTACTACACTACACACAAAATATACACAACTCTTCATATTATATATAATACATACTTGAAGATCAGTAGGAACTGGGGTCTCAGACAATTCCATGGCACGAATAATTTCTCCTGCATAACGAGGCTGATCTTGAGTTAGGAAGGTATAAGCCCACCCTTTGTTGCCAGCACGGCCAGTACGACCACACCTAAATCAAACGGTTACATGGATGAGATAATATTCATAAAAATCTTAATGTACATTACTATAAAATTTAAATATAAAACCACCGTTGAATGTAATGAAACACCATTTTTTAGGTGAGACTCGGAGGCTCCCCGGAGCTATACCAGGCTAATATGCTAATGTCAGACTTTGGCATCAGTCATGTGTATGGAGTTCTTAGGGTCCTACCGGGGACCACGGCCAGAACCTGGACCCCTCAGAGAGGCAAGGGGAGCAATGGCCTATAGAAACCCCCGTGTGGTTGGAAGCATTCTATGTCTGCCATCAACCGGGTCAAGCATCCAGAAAGGTAAGTGTCCCAAAACAAACCTCTATTCTGGTTAAAATTGCTACCAAAAGCCAAACTAGTGGATAGAACTCCCCAACAGAAAACATGGAAACTAATATGACTTCACACGTCACCGCACCGCTGTCTGTGCAGCTCCCCCTCCCCAGGAGGGGGAAGGGGTAGCCCCAGACCTCTCACGCCGGCTATCCACCCATCAGTTCTTCGGCTGATGCTACAGGCACCGGTTGTACTCGCCTAATTGTGCTTGCGGGGTTGAGCTCTGGCTCTTTGATCCCATCTCTCAAACCCTCAATCAACTGACGTACAGATTCTGGAGCCTACTGGGCTCTATCGTCTCTACATTTGAAACTGTGTATGGGGTCAGCGTTCCATCTGTTAACTACTCTGACACTGAAAAAGTTCTTTCTCACGTCCCTGTGGCTCATTTGGGTACTCAGTTTCCACCTGTGTCGCCTTGTTCTTGTGCCACCCGTGTTAAACAGTTTATCTTTCTCAACTCTGTCAATTCCTCTGGGAATGTGGTGACATTTTGCTGCGGTTTTGATACTGCGGCTGCGTGTTGGAGCATGGTTGTGGCGTTTTGTTTGGGCCTTCCGTGCATTTTTCTGGGGCCTTCCTTGTTTGGGTTCTTTGTTACCATGATTTTTCTGGATTTCTCATTCCTTGCCGGTCTTGCTGTACCGGGCTTGGCTTTTCCATGTTCATTAGATTCTCTGTAATACCCTCGTTGTCCTCACCTAGTTGTGCTTGCTGGGGATGAGCTTTGGCTCTTCATCTTGCCCCTCGCCTGTTATTCGATTTCTGTACAGGTTCCGGAGCCTACTGGGCTTTCTTGCCTGCACTTGACGCTGGGTGTGGGGTTGACCTCCGCCACATCCCTTCATCATGCATTCCTGTTGTCTCCTGCTCTGACACTGGTATGCTTCTTCTATATTTTATACGGCTCATTTGGACATTCAGTTCGCCTTGTTGCCCCCATTACGTGTGCCCCATGTGTTCCTTGCCTTGTATTTCTCTACCCTGTCATTTCCTCTGAGGTTTTGCTTAGGGTGGTCATGTCCCCTCTGGATCTTCGGTCTCCTGAGGGTGCGTGGGACATGTCCAGCGGCTTTTGGTGTTGGTCCTGTCCTTTCGTTCCCGTTTGCTGCCTGCCTTCTTTGTTCCTCAGCTTCCTTTTGTCCTCCTCGTTGTGTGTTTTGTTTGTGCCTTTTGGCTCCTGTTACCGGGTATCATTTCTGATTCCTGGCTTTTCCGGCCTCTTGGCATTTTCAGAGTCTTGCGGTGTCCCTTCTCTGGAGTCTGTCGGGGTCTTGGTCTCCACCTTCCTGGCGGCTCGCTGGCGTTGGGAGCCAGAGAACACTTGAGGCTCGTTCGGCTCTGCCTCGAGTCTCGCCTTCTGTTGGTGGTCGGATGACTTCGTTGCTGGTGTCCCACCTGCGTGCTTCTCGGCGGCAGTGTGGGGTATTTTGGCGGTCCTTCCTTTTTCCTTCTGTCCCTTTTCGGTGGCGGTGTGTTGTTGGTGTGGTCTTGTCTTTCTCTTATGTGGGTTCGGGGCTGTCATTTTGCCGCATACTGTCGGCTCGTTTCGTTAGGCGCTGGCAGAGCCACTTCCGCTTGCGTTCGGTGTTGATGTTACTTCTGCGCGGTTCGGTACGCTGTCTCATGCGTTGGTTCACCTCCGGCCTGCTCATGCGCCTTCTGAGCCGTCCTGGTCATGGGACTGAGTGCTCTCTCTTCTCTTCTCCTCGGTTTTTGTAGCCCCTTTGGTTCCGATTGGTGTCTCAGGAGCTCTTTTACTGTTGGCGTTGACCTCAGGGGGTTCGGCTTGACGAGCTTCGTTCTCTCTTCCAGGGCGGGGGTTTTTGCTCCTTTGGTCGGGGTGATCGTTTTGTTCCTCTGTGGCCTTCTCCTTTTTTGGCGTAGAATGTGACTGCTGCTTTCCGGAGGGGTTCCTGGGTGGTTGATGCATTGTTGGTTTGGCCGGGGGCGCTTCAGGTTTTGTGCCCAGTTGCGGCTCTCTGCTGTTTTTGGTGCACCACGGCTTCTGTGTCTGTGGACGCGCTTAGGTTGATCCAGTTTCCCCTCTTCCCCGTCTGCAGGGTTATTAAGGCTGGCTGGCCTGCGGCCTCTCCCCGTGCCTGCGACGTTCGCAAGTTCGCGGCTCTTGCTCTCATTCCTTGTTACTGTGTCTTGGGCAGACATTCAGGCGTGGGGATTTTGGCAGTCAAACTGGGTCCAACTGTCACCAACACAACAGTCTCTTGAATTGAGGAGAGTTGCCGGTGTGGAGGTCTGGGACTCCCCTGCCCCGTCCCCCTCCTGGGGAGGGGGGGGTTGCACAGATGGATATGCGGTGGTTGTAGTGACGTCATGTTTGTTTCCTTGTTTTTGATTGAGAAGTTCTGTTTGCTAGTTCGGCTTTTGGTTTGCAATTTTTGACCAGCAGTAGTTTGTTTTGAAATTCCTACCTTTCTGGGTGCCTGACCTGGTAGATGGCAGACAAAGACTGCTTTCAATTACACGGAGGTGTCTTTAGACCATTGCTCCTCGTGCCTCTCTTGAGGGGGCCAGGTTCTGGCTTTGGTCCCTGTTAGGCTTAGAACTCCTACGATTGACTGTTGCCACGGTCTAATATATACTCAACATTTTGGTATAGCTCTCTGCAGATTTTTTTTTTATTAAAGTACAGTTAAGATCATATTTTCCAATACAAGATATGATCAAAAACCCAACGATGTATTCTTTGATTACTCCAATATATAGCATTTAATATTTTTTGTTACAAACAAACTGTGAAGCATGAATGCACCATTGCTTTCTGTTTTTGTCTTAATAAAGTTTTTTCTTTTTCATATACTGTCCATCATTGGTATTTACAGGCTAATGTGGCATCTTTAAAAGTACTTATACAAAATACTTATATTTAATATTTGTAAATAACCTAACCCACATTTATGAAATCAATGTTATGATTTGATAAAGGTTAAGGAAGGAACAAAATGTTGTCATTTTCATTCCATTTTATATGTGGGGTTGGGTTATTTGTTTTCAATCTTGCTTTTATGACTTATTCTGTGCATTTAATACCAGTTACTGTGCAGTGCTGGTACACCAATGCAGAGCTGTATTAGGCAACTGGCTGTGAAACTGACCATGAGGACAAAACAAACATTTGCAGCTCAGATAACCATCTAGAGGTTATCTAGAGGTTATCTAGATAACCATCCACCAGTCCACTTGACATCATGATTTTTGCTATATGCTTCATATCACATTTACCCGGTATATTACTCAAGATGAAATGGGATTTAACAGATTATGTAACCGACTGCTTAGTCTTAAAACATGCTAATGCAACTAGATATTTACCTATGAACATAATCCTCATAATGATTGGGGCAATCAAAGTTGACCACCAAAATAAGCTGTTTGACGTCCAGACCTCGAGCAGCAACCGAAGTAGCCACCATGATGGGTACTCTTCCAGCTTTGAAATCCAACATTGTACTATCTCGATCTATTTGGTCTACTCCTCCATGAAGAACTAAAGCCCGGTATGAATGGCTGAGCAAGTCCTGGCAAAATGAGAGGAAACAGACAAATTATTTGATGTGTTTGAAGTGTAAATAAATGCATTTAATTAACCACTGTACAACCTGCGCTAACCAAGAAATCTTGTTCTGAGAATTGTGCTTTTTTTTTAATTAGGCTATATTTTAATGTTTTTTAATGTTTTCATTACTCTTTGTGTTTTGAAATAAAAGGATTGAGTTTGGAAACATTTTGACATTAACTTTACCTGTTACCTGAACATTACAACTTTACCTGAACATTTATAAAAACAACAAAAATATGTCATTAATAATTGCACTATGAAGTTTTTGCCAAAAACAGGTGCACATTGCAGGGGTTAAAGTGTAGCCTGTTAGTAAAAACACTAAAAAACCAGCGTTGAATGTAATGAAACGCCATTTTCAGCATCCTAGGCTGAACCAATCAAGCATCAATAACCCAAGGACCCCACCGGAAAACATCCGTCTCGACCATCCAGAAAGACGAAGAAAGGCTGCAAACGTACAAACCTACCTCCAGTACGAAAAGAGCAGAAACCCCTGCACCAAAGGAGAGCTGGAAGCTCCCTGACCCGACCCGCAAAGACCCATGCCAACAAAATATGGCCAATGAAAACCAAACTTGAACCAAAGGGGCTATCACAGTCTAAGGAGAAGAAGATAAGAGGGCACCCTGATCAAGAACCAGGACGGCTCAGGCGACCCATGAGCAGGTCGGAGGTGAAACAAAACATGAGAAAGCGTACGGAACGGGGCAGATGTGATGTCCACCCCTAACGCAAGCCGGAGCTTGCGTAATACAATTATGAAGACCAACAGCGTTCACCATGTCCTTAGCACAACTCACCTGTATCTTGGTACAATGATCCAAGGAGCTGCTAATGTAGTAGTAAACTCAACAAGATAATGACCAAAGCCATTGGAGATAGCAAACTGGTGGAAACTCTTCAAACTAGTAAAGTTTGAAGGGGTTCCGAGTGTTTATGAATGAATCATTCAGATTACTCCAGAATGAAATGAACTTTTCTCCAATGCCTTCCTAATGAAAGGGACTAGCAAGAGACCAGCCAGTTGAGTTAGCTTAGTAAGGTATTTCAATTTTCTATTTATCTCAACAAAACAGCACCAGATAAGAAAATCCTGACACAAAGCTGCCAGTGAAAAGAACTAAGCTGTGGCAAGCACACAATTGTTACACAGTGAAGTGAACAAATTGTTTGCATTCAGCTTTGTTTCAGGATTTCTTTATCTAGTGCTGTTTTGTTGGTAAGTCTTTTGCAACCCAAGATATCTCTTCTGTGGCAGAATGGTGTTGCACTAAGACAAAGTCTTGAGGATTAGACCGATACATTATTTTAGTGGCTACTGAAGAGGGTCTGGTGAGTCTAACATTTGTTGTTTTGCAAAATACTGTAGTGAGCTGGACTCTCAATAATGACTTATGTTACAATTTGCCACTTTTGCCATTCCCTCAACTACATAACCAGACTATTCAAATATTACTTGTCAATGTGGGATGAACAAGTCATTAGAACATGCAAGTGGAATGTATCTACGTGGACTCTAAGCCCATGTGAGCAATCCCGGACAGTCCTCGAGTCAGAAGAATAATATGAAACCATAAAGTATCCCGAGAATATCTAATAATGAGTAAAATCTAATACAGTAATAAGCATGTTGAAGAACTACTTATGAGTTATGGGGGGAGGGTTAGGATACATTTGCAGATGAACTTGCAGCATTATCCCAAGATCGCAGTTGTAGGAAGGAACTCCATTCTTGGAAGGGATCCAGTGCTGAGAATTAAAATGGTTTAATGAATGTTAACGTTTTAAGATAAAACAAAACCAAATAAGTAAAAAATTCTTACCTTAAACAAAGAGTCAGCATTTTCTTGCTTATCAACAAAGACAATTGTCTGACCACGCTCATAAAACTGGCCAAGGATCTCTAATAACTTCAGGAATTTCTGATCTTCGTCAAGAAGGACAACCTCCTGTGTGACATCTCTGCACACAACAGATCTTCCTCCAACCTGCACCAGTCAAGTGATTCATTAATCAGAAATACATTATTATTATAAAATCAAAAGATCATAAATGTAGATGAAATATTCCTGACATGGAATCTTGAAGCTGAACCGGCCTACATTATGTAGTCACGTATGTATATTCAAAGAAATTTTATATGTATAAACAGCTGAATCAGTGCCTAATATACCCCACCAAATTAATAAAGGTGAAACTTATATAGAAAACTACATCTAAAAGGTTTAAGTAGTATTAGTAAAGGTACAGTATCTATTTCAAGCTGAAAGTTCTTAACAAATCATTTATATTTCAAAAAATTTAAATATTCAATGGAAACCATAAATTATCACGAATTTGCCAAACTTAAACAAATATAAACCCAAACTCACATACTTTAGACTGCAAAGTGTGCATTCCAAAACCCTTTTTAAACTACTTACCAAGAACTGATTTTAAATATAAACAGCCAAATTATTATCATTAAGTTAACTGAGCATCTTAAAGTATACTTAATGGTACCTTAAATAAAACCTTAAGATGACACTTCTCTTCACAGGAGTTAGCACAATGTAGGGCTTTAGCATGAGTACAGTAATATAAGTATGGAATTAATTTCATGACTTACCATGATTTCAATCGGTTTTGTAAGTATTTTTTTAGCTAGAGCTTCTACTTGTCGTGGGAATGTGGCTGAAAACATGACCGTCTGACGGGCTGGCTGAATATTTTCTATTATTCTCATTACCTAAAAAAAATTGAAAGGAAAAGAATAAGTGACACTTCTAAAATCTATTTATACTGTACAACAAATATTCTCTTTAAATTACAGTACATACTGTTTGTCCTGGTGCTTGCTCATGTATGGTCAATGATGTCCACTGATCAGAGTTAGCTCACATGCAACCTAACTTTAACAAAGCTGCCTGCACAGAAATGGTAGAACGGAAAAGGAATAAAGTGCAACCAAATGGAACGGATCAGAAAGAGAGCTCATCATGGTAGCTAAAAGCCTTAGATTTTATCACTTACATACAGCTAATTTCTTAAACACCTACAATGTGGCTATGGATGCCACAAGCCAATGAAAGTAGCATACTTTTGTAAGTCATGCACACACCAGAGGGTACATGTATAGCTGACTGAACCTGACCATGAACTGTAACAGCTGGGAAGTACATGACTGTACATGAAAGCATTGACCAAGAAATATATGGAAAAAACAGATAACAGGGTGCTGGCTTCTTGCTATCTGATGGATGTTTTGCATCCTCTCTTCATCTTTGTGAAACTGGGCCACTTAGCATGCGGCTGTAGTGTCCTTCGTTACCCTTTGGAATTTAGTTTGGTCAGAGAGTATGAGGTTCATTTTTGCCAGATATTCGTCTTCAGTCATATCTCCATAACCTGAGCGTTCTCTGATATCCAGGGAACATTTTCATGTGTGTGTGTGTGGAGTATTATCAGGTTGGCTGTAAAATTGACATTTAAGTTTGATTATGCAAGGGGCTTACGCCCTTTTGGGGCACAAGATGGCGCCGAGCCGTTCTGTTTCCCTCCAAAACGTCGTGACACCTCCCAGCACTTGATTGGCCAGGCGAGGTCACGTGTCGGAAGTAACCAATGACGAGAGCCCTTGGGCAGTGTGACGTCACAAGACGGGGGGCTTCCGGGGCGGCTGGCGCCTGGGCGGGAGAGTACGTCACAGACTGTCACAGAGTGAGGACGCATTCCGGTGTGCTCCAGATCTTGAGGCCAGAAAGCCCCTACCAGTGGATTTAAGCATCGCTTTAATACTGCAGACATCCCATGGAGTGCCAGGAAGCAAGGATTGGCCAGGATAGAGAGTCAAGAGCTCTATATTCAAGAGTCTGTAGCAGGAACGGACGTGGGGCTGGAGACGTCGGGAACGACCGGAGGACCGCGTTCTACATATCAAGCAAGTAGCGACAGCCGGGCTGAATCCACTGGAAGTGAGGCAAAAGGAAACCCACTGGATCGCAAGTGCATCTACAGTGCCACTGAGAGGAGGAAGAGGACGACGGCGCAGGTACCTGACTCCAGTACCCCGAGTGAGAGGAGGAGGACCATACCTGCCGGGTGTGAGTACGGCGAAGATGCGATACTACGAGGACGACTGAGGAACTTGTATGTGTGAGAACTGATCGACGGAAGACCAGAAGAGAGAACCAGGAACCTCATCATCCATCGCAAGAGGCCCATCGGTTTCGTAAAGGAATGAAGTAAGGTAGATAGTTAACTCTCCCTTTACTCATTTGATCTAGGTGAGCTAGGATATTTTATATATATCGTGAGCATATTTTGTTACCATTTATTGTCTATGTGATAGTGTTAGGCTAGGAGCCAAGGAGCTCATGTAGGTGTAAATTGGTGGTGGAACATAAGTACGTAGATGCAGTGACGTTAGTGTATCTGGGAATAGTAGCTGGTTCTCAAGAAGCCAGAAACGAATTTTGAATCGTCCAGCTGATCGTGTTGCCAGAGGCGCGAGGTGTGTGCCCGCCGCCTGACATGTGGACCCAGTCAGCTGACCGTGTTGCCAGAGACATGACGAGAGAAGGTTGCCGCCATCGGAAAATTCCACCTGATTATTTCCCTATACAGATGTACATATTTTTCTCCAGTAAATTTTTAATCTTTCCTATGTGTTTGAGTGAGCCTCTATTCTCTAGGGCTATTTTGAGTGAAACCATTTATGTCACCTTGCACTGCACATGAAATTGCATCCTTAAATTAATTAATTAAGATAACTAATGAGACCACTGACGTGTTGCTGGGACACGAGTATAAACACCCAGCTGGCGACCTGAGCAGAAGAGATATCTAAGAGAGAGCATCCCAGTGTCAAGACGGGCAGGTTCAGGTGTGTCACAGGTAGACTTGAACCTCTCCACTCGCTAGGGGTATATATAAGGCCAGCCCTTAGTTGACTGGGGGTGCGCCAGGGCGGGCAGTGGCGCTGGTACCGAGGGGCGAAGACCCTTGGGACGACCCCAACCATAGGTAGGAAGGGGGGTGAACCCTGACACCTAGTCGGGCCTGTGCTGCTTTGGGTCGGCGGTTGCAGCCAGTTGTCTGGACTTCGTGTTGGGGAGCGAGTAACCACCGCCTCCCGGGTAAGTCCCTCTTGTTTTTGTCTTTTGGTAAGAACAGTAGCTCCGGGGAGCTGTAGGGGCTTCCCCCAGAAAACCAGCGTTGAATATAAAGAAAAGCCATTTTCTGGGTGAGACCCGGAGGCTCCCCTGCAACCCTCCCTTCCTCCGGTCAGCATTTTTCACATGTTTTTTATATCCAGCCTCAGAACTGGGGTTTTGGGTAGCCGGTGCGAGGGGCCTGGGGCTTCCCTTTCCCCTCCCGGGAAGAGGAGAGTGGTGCAGCGACGTGGTGATGTCATGCTCATTTTTGCTCGTTTTTCTTTGGGGAGTTCTGTCCACTACTTCAGCTTTCAGTAGCAATATCTTAACCAGAATAAGGGTTTGTTTTGGGGCACTTACCTTTCTGGGTACCTAACTCCCTTGATAGCAGACATAGAATGCTTCGAACCACATGGAGGTTTGTATAGGCCATTGTTCCTCGTGCCTCTTTGAGGGGAGGGCCAGGTTCTGGCTCGTGGTCTCTGGTAGGCCAAAGAACTCCATTCAAATGACTGATGCCTCAGACTAATATAGCAGGGTCAGCCTGGATAGCTCTGGGGAGCCTCCAGGTCTCACCCAGAAAATGGCATTTCATAACATTCAACACTTGTTTTTTGAGCACAGCCATAAATGGTTGCTCCAGGTCCTATGCATATTCTCCTGTGTGCAGAGTAAGAGTTTATGTCGGGAAGAAAGTGACATCATCTCGCTCTGAGAACTTTGTTGTGATATCAAACATATAATTAGATTAATTCTGAAATTCCACCAGAATCATCATGAAAGTAACAGCCACCTGTTTTGAGTACACTACTACTGCACTAATGTGTATTTTAATTTTACATCATAAATTTCACTTGCAATGAACAGTTAAAACAACAGTTAAAAGAGGAACAACAGTTAAAACAATATCATTAAAACAATGGACAAAATTGTATTTACTTTTTAGATTTAACTAACCTGTGGCTCAAATCCCAAGTCAAACATACGATCAGCTTCATCTAGTACAACATACGTGACTCTGCGAAGATTGGTGACTCTTCCACCATTTGCAGCTAACATGTCAATCATTCGTCCAGGAGTACACACAATGATTTCAGCTCCTCTTTTGAGCTCAGCTATTTGCTCGGATATTCCTGTACCACCATAGACACAGCATACTCTCAAATTGTTTTTTGCAAATTTTTTACATTCTTTACCTGTTAAAAAAAAGAATTCTATAGTAAATTTCATCAAATTACAACTATTGTACTAATATGGAATTAAATTAATACATTACACATAATATCCAGATTAATGTAAATTTATATATTTACTGAAACTCTTCTCTAATGACTAGCTTATCTCACATGACAGTGAAACTTTCAAAATTCAGGCCACCAAACTGGAGATTCCTGTAAATGAAGTAAACCTCCCCATCAGATTGCCGCCGCCCCTCCCCCCCAAAAAAAAATCAAATTTTTAAGAGGCAAATTTAAATTCCAGAGGGGGCCATGGTAAAATTAAATAATTTCTAGCAAATATATATTTTTTGCAGTAATTCCCCAATGCTGCAACTTGGAAATATAAAAGCTTTGGGAAACACACAAGGCCTTTAAAGACCTGCAATTGCAAACCGGGTACAAGGGCAGTTGTTTGTTCCTGTTCCCACCTGTGCATACAAAAAAATCCAGCATTGAATGTAATGAAACGCCATTTTCTGGGTGAGTCCCGGAGGCTCCCCGGAGCTATCCATGGCTGATATGGATAGATACCCTAACTATTTTGCATCAGTCAATGTGGGTGAAGTTCTAGCCTACCGGGGACCATGAGCCAAAACCTGGCCCCTCACAGAGGCACGGGAGCAATGGCTCATAGAAATGCACATGTGATTTGGAGCATTCTATATCTGCCATCAACTGGGACAGGCACCTAGAAAGGTAAGCGCCACAAAACAAACCCCTATTCTGGTTAACAACGAAAATCGACAAACAAGTGAACAGAACTCCCCAAAAAAAAAGAGCAAACAAGCATGACGTCACACGAGCCATGCCACACGTCTGCGCAGGTGTAACACGGGTCGGGTTCTCCTCTCTTTACTTCTCTTCCTTCTCCCTCTACCCGTATTCTTACTTTTATTTCTAAACCAAGGGACTCCAAAACTTTTAACAAAGCCAACTCCACGCCACGTGGTCCTAAGACGATTGACCGACTTAGGATTCTACACCCAGTATGACGTGACCTAAGCTCTGAACAAAACCCTAGAGTCACCTCTGCTGCCACCACCAGACCAGTAATACAAGAGCAATGATCGAGGTCTGGATCGATCACGCTAATTAATCAACCTAGGGGCTTGATCCCCACTATAAACGATGACCTTGAGTGTGGAATAAATTACACGGTAATGATAATTCCGATTCGATGTTAGAATCGGCGCCCAATGCAACTCTGCCTCGTGTGGACCACGTGACCAGGACAAGTATACACATAAAACACATGGAAACAATAAAATGCAAATTAATAACAAATTTAATTTATTAAAAGAAAACTAAAACAAAATCTAAATATGTTCACTCCCTATCACTTTAACACTCCCTACTTGACCTGAGTGGCAAATGAGAAGACTATTTCTATAATTAACAATAGCAACTATACCTTGGGCGACCACAGCTCTAGATGTTGGGGCTGGTCTTGGGGAGAGGTAAGATGGTTGGCCTCTTATCCCAGCTGCTTCCGTGACCACACTGATTTGTCCTCGTCTGGCCTAGCCCAGACTAGAACCTTGTATCCTTCCGCCTAGTCAAAGTTTTACCAAGTTACTAGCCAGGTTTAAGTTATAACAAACTCTGTTGTACTTAATTGATCCAGACTGGTTGAATTATTTTACTTTAATTAGATTACACAAACATCTAACGGCAAAGCTGTTCCCGATCACAAAAATGGTTATTAAAACTTTGAGAAATATTAGACATGTCAACCCTGCTGACCTATGACCGCCGGTCACTCCGCTTTAGAAGTTAGATCTGATTCGTGACGTCACTGATGGTGACTTAAACTCAATAATTAGAATACTCTTGATATTGTATCCAGTACTATTATACAATACAATTTTAATGCAAAATGAATAAAGGCTAATTTCTCTAAATTACTGAATACTATAGGATGATTCATTATACGCAGCTATGAACAAAGCGTCGGTTATTTCCACCGCGAATCCCCCTGGGGGTCAGGTCACCATGCGGCTCAGCTTCCCATTCTCTTTTGTCGATAAACCACTCTGGATAATTCTTACAACAGCCTAGTTTGTTACACAGGGAAGGAAAAGCCCCAGACCTCCGAGCCGGCGATCCCCGCTCCAGTTCTGAGTCTGGATATAAAAATCGTGAAAAACTGCCAACCAGAGGGCAGGAGGGTTGCCGGGGAGCCTCTGGGACTCACCCAGAAAATGGCGTTTCATTACATTCAACGTTAGTTTTCTGGGGGGAGCCCCTACAGCTTTCCGGAGCTACTTCACCAAAGACTACTTAAGAAAACAAATGGGACATACCTGGGAGGCGGTCAGTGCTCCACTCCTCAACTCGAAGTCGAGACAACGGACTGCATCCGCCGACCTAAAGCAACACAGGCCCGACTGGGACCAGCAATGTTTACAAGGTTCCCACACAAACCCTCGAGAAACCGCCGTGTGACCCGGGAGCCCCCCAGAAACAAGCACTTGCAAGACCGCAGCTGAAGGAGACTCTGGAGAGAGAGACAAGGAAGTGGTCCAAGAGTATCACACAAGACCCAGCCAGGTCCAAACCTGGGAGGGAACCAGATGGGACTTCCGCCAGTTCACCAGGAACCTGATCCCGGCTAGCCGGGAAAGCAGCAAACCCCTGGCGAGCAGACACACAAACCAAATGGGAGCCCACACCAGCCAGTTGTTGAGGTAAGCCAACACCCAAACCCCTGAAAGACACAAGACGAGCCACCATGACCCGGGTAAGGCGTGTGAATACGCGACGTGCCAGGTTCAACCCAAAAGGGAGACAACGAAAGCGGTAACTCTGACACCCCACAACAAAATCGAGCTAGTCCCTGAACGCCGGATGAATCGGGATGTGCCAGTAAGCTTCCTTGAGGTTTAGGGACACCATCCAAGCACCCGGTTCCAACAAAAGCTGGACCTGGGACAGAGTGGTCATCCGAAAGGAGGGGTAAGAAACCCAGGGAGTTCAGACGGGGACAAGTCCAGAATGAACCACAGGTCTGCACAGTCCCGTTTTGGAACTGGAAGCAGGTGGGAAACCCACCTAAGTTGTTGTTGTTTCGACCACGCCCAAGCGCACCCACTCCGAGACGACCTGACAGAGCGCAGGAGAAGAGGCCTGCCCTGCCAGCCCCGAACCCCCGAAAGAGGAGGAGCCACCCAAAACCACCGCAGGCCGCAAGAACCACCCAAAAAGCCCATGAATCGTGAGAGCAGGCGTGAGCAAACAAAGAAAGCCTCCCTCTCCCCCCATCGCCCCATGGATCAAACCACAAAAGGGTCGACGCCCCTTACGAGAACCCGACCTGCACACAGAGCGATCATCGCGCCAACCAGACGCAGACAGTTCCAACGGCGGCACCGGCTCCGAAACTGGCACCTGTGGCCTACCCCGACAAGCGGAACCCTGAGCCCTAGCACAACTTCTCCAGGAAGAACCTAAGTGGGACATCGGACGACAGATGGAAGAAGCCACCTGCATATACTGCTCGACCGCAGAGTCCACAAACAGCAAAGGATAAAAAGGCGAAGACAACCTAAGTGGCAGGGTCAAAGCGGGTTCCAAGGAGGAAGCGAGCACAACCTGTCAACACGCGAGACGCACAGCAAAAAACCAGCATTGAATGTAATGAAACACCATTTTCTGGGTGAGTCCCGGAGGCTCCCCGGAGCTTACCAGGCTGATATGCTAATGTCAGACTTTGGCATCAGTCATGTGTACAGAGTTCTTATGGGCCTACCGGGACCACGAGCCAGAACAAGGCCCCCACAGAGAGGCAAGGGAAGCAATGGCCTATAGAAACCCCCGTGTGATTGGAAGCATTCTATGTCTGCCATCGACCGGGTTAGGCACCCAGAAAGGTAGGCATCCCAAAACAAAACCCCTATTCTGGTGAAAATTGCAACCAAAAACCGAACGAGTGGATAGAACTCCTCATGGGCCCCAGTTGGCCTAGAACTCCATCGATTAACTGTTGCCATGGTCTAATATATACACGTCAGCCCGGTATAGCTCCAGGGAGCTAGAGGGGCTCTCCGAAGACATCAACTAAAAATATGTAATTAAATTTGTTTATGACTAATTTGTGTGTAAATACATGCAATGACTAATTTTGAGCACATTGTTGTAAAAATTAATTAATGTTCTCAATGATAGCAAAGTTTTATTTGTTAAAACTGTTTTTTTTTATATTTTTAATATAAATTAATCTATGTTCAGCATTGTATTTTTGGGAGGAGGAGGAGAGAGCAGAAACTAACACACCAATACATACCAATTTGCATGCAGAGCTCTCGTGTTGGTGTCATAATAATGGCAATAGGGCCATCTGTGTCCTCTAAAGGCGGTTGATCCACAATATGACGAAACATTGGCAAAAGAAATGCCAGAGTTTTTCCTGATCCAGTCTTGGCAATTCCAATAACATCCCTTCCTTTCATGATTGCGGGTATAGCCTGATAATAAAATTGAACAGTAATGAGAAAAAATAACATTACAATGTCTTGTCAATCTCATTAACCACTTAACTGCGCCAACCGAGTATTCTCGGTCAGCGGGAAACTGCGCCAACAGAGAAAACTCTTTTTGATTTTTCGGTACCAATTCCAAATGCATACGAAGTTGGTCGTGTACGAAATGGACTCTTATAACCTCCAGTGAGAGGCAGCCATCTTGGAAAAAATTCCCAGAATGCCCTAGAGCTGCTGGCTGGGTTAGTAATGAATGAGCAACCATGGGTGGCGCACGCACCTCTGGCTCCCAAACACCTGTCCGACGTGGTGTTGAAAGATAACGCTCTGTCGGTGAAATTCAAACCTTATTGTTTGAAGAACATAAGGGTCATAATATTGGTGAAGCTAGGCGCAATAAGGACCTAACACAAAGGTTGGATGCAAGTGATATAGCACCTATGAGGATGATACAGCGAGCGTATCCAGTTGTAGCTCCGAGTGTCGCCCTTGCAATCCTACACTATCTCCAATTTATTTGGACGATACATAGATGAATCGTTTTCTGCGTTCAGTGATGATACATCTGATACAAGTAGCATAGATGAACAGTGTTAGCGGCATCCATGGTGGAGTTTTCCATAGATATTTTCAAGAATACCTGAATCTCTTCCTAACTGACGGACACTCTTTGAGGCTAGCTGAAACTCTTTCTGACTGACGGACACTCTTTGAGGCAAGCTGAATCTCTCCCTGTGGTGGACCATACAAAGCGATCTTTTCAGGACTACCTTAGAAATTGATCTTTTCCTATAATCTTTTCAATACTACCTTATGCTTTACAAGCTTGGCTACATACAACCTACAAGTACTAAAGCCAAAGGTGTATATGAGAGCATTATTTGCAAGCACACAGAATGAAGAAACAGGAAGCGAAAATTTATCTGTACCAGGTGCACTGAGAGCGAAGTCGCGGTGTGTACCATGGACTACTTCATTGATTATTACTCACTTCCGAAGTACTGAATGTGTAATACAGTGCGTTACTGTGTAAACAGTGTGTGAAACTGTACATATTGTAATTTTAGTGAATTTTTAACAGGTAATATTACGACAATAAACATTTATTGTGGACACATTACTGACACATGTATCACAGTTCCATGGAACATTATGAACGTTCTACTGTATACATATTGTAAAGGACACAAATATGCATCATATACAGTAAAAAAAACAAATAAAACCGCATTGGAAATACATAAAACAAATAATTGAAAATATAATTGTGGCAACACACGTTGCTTGAATGGCCCGCGCGACCGTGTCTGGGCGATTCACCCAGGAGCGACCAGGCCCTGATGCCGTCACAGTGCACCTTGTCCACGTCCCCACAGCCAAAATAAGTGGAATTTGCTATTTTATTTTTACATAGACATGTTCAGGGAAGATAATTTATCATTTTACAAAGAAAAAAAAATTTGGGGGAACACTTTATTTCATGCGCACCGGGGAAATTTCACAATAAACTCGGCACAACACGGTGGTTAAAAATATATGACGGCATGCATTAAAATATAATTGGCAACAATCGGTATATTGTGCTGAAGTGATAGAGCCATTATGAGTAGGCAAAGTACTGTCAAAGGCTATAAGTGTTTCTCTGTAGGAAGTTTGGAATAAGTGAGTTAGTTGTGTAAAGAGTGACTGTTTCTATATTAATGTAGGCATGTGTCAGGGTTATTTGATGTTCACCTTTGTTATTCAATAAATACATGGATGAGGTTCTGAAGGAGGCCAAGGTGAGAATATTAGAAGAGTGTAAACCTAGTGTATAGGTGGTGTTCATGCTGAGATATGACTACCATCTTGCGTCTTCAAAAGGCCTTCCATGGTGTTGTGTTCCTTGTTTATTCACCAGGTTTGGGTATTGTATGTTGCTACTACATATATGTCCAAACCTTTGCAATCTTAGATTCTTGTTCTTGGCTCCACACTGGGGTGGTCACATTAACCCACATATATATTTATTACCAATCTTCTCTCAAAATTTATATGTACAATACTACTGTGTTCTGAAACAGTTTACTGCTTTGGTAAAGAAGGACATGATATTCAAGGTAGGATAATATCTTACCTGCACTTGAATTGGTGTTGGTTTCTCATAATTACTCTTCTTCAGCACATCCAGGATCCTCTTACTCACTCCACACTGAGCCCAGGTTTTGATTGGTTTGGGACATCCCTGACCTTTCACCTTGATGCCTTCCAACTCCGCTCTTGCAAAAGGATTAATGAATGAAAATTTGGCAAAGATACAGTATAGGAAACAATCAAATGCATTAAACAAGCTTTTGGATTAAATGACCAAGCACAATTCTCTCACAAACTTCTTTACTGCTATCAAATTATTTCTAGTTATGGCCATTACAACATCTTTCAACATATCTACATGGCTATATACGACCTTACACAAAGCTTATATTTCCGTGTTTTATCCATTTCATATAACACTGGCACATCCTCCTGGAATACAGTAGTCATGCTTAGACCATCACGGGAAGAATAGTATATATGGTTCCTATGCCAAACATGTCTCACAATACAGAAACAGAACGCTAAGTGTAATGAAAGACCTCATTTTGAAGTAGCGTCTCAGAAGCTTAATAAATAAAGTAATAAAAAATTACTTTACAGATAAATAACTGGTTTCCACGTGTATGGCAATCTTGTGAACTGCCACTCGGTAGTCAACTGAGTTAGCCTGCTGTCTCCCTTACCCTTTTCTTAATTGCAAGACCAATGGCAAAATTATTGTCACAGTGAGGAAACAAGTCATTTAGAACTTAATGAGTAACTGGACCCCTGGTTTACACTTCTGATTCTGAGCTAAGGATTCAGTCAAGGTTAGAATACTGGCGATATATGTATACTTAGCACATGGCCTAATATAAATAACTCAAGAATGTAAAATTTTACGTGTACAAAAGGAGTGTAACTCAGAAAATCACAAGCCATACAAATCCATACAGAAAGAACCCATACAGTGAGAGGGTGGTGAATATATTATGATAATCAGAACACACTTGTAAGACTGTCTGGCTTAATACCTGTATGCGTCCACATCCTCTTTGCTCATATTTGCAATCTCTGGCACTTCCACATAGAAGTCCTTCCTGAAGGGCACATAATCGATGGTTGTGTGGTCAACCTTCACCAACTCCTACAATGAATGTGGGAATTAGATTGTTTCACAAGCAGGACAACAATTTTATTCAAGAGTAATTATTAATATTTGGAAAATATATACTGTATGTGTGTGTGTGTGTGTGTGTAAAATATTATATTATATTATATTATTTTATATATATATATATATATATATATATATATATATATATATATATATATATATATATATATATATATATATATATATATATATATATATATATATATATATATATATATATATATATGTGTCGTACTTAGTAGCCAGAACGCACTTCTCAGCCTACTATGCAAGGCCCGATTTGCCTAATAAGCCAAGTTTTCATGAATTAATTGTTTTTCGACTACCTAACCTAACTTTTTCGGCTACCTAACCTAACCTAACCTATAAAGATAGGTTAGATTAGGTTAGGTAGGGTTGGTTTGGTTCGGTCATATATGTATGTTAATTTTAACTCCAATAAAAAAAATTGACCTCATACATAATGAAATGGGTAGTTTTATCATTTCATAAGAAAAAAATTAGAGAAAATATATTAATTCGGGAAAACTTGGCTTATTAGGCAAATCGGGCCTTGCATAGTAGGCTGAGAAGTGCGTTCTGGCTGCTAGGTACGACATATATATATATATATATATTTTATTACACAACATTTGCAGTAGCCTATTTATATTGGATTTACATATCAGAGAGAAAAGAAACTTGCACCATTTATGAATGGCAAAATGATTAATACAAGAATCAACAAGAAGGCAGTAAGAGATTATTATCATTTGCAGTATACTAATTATGGTCTGATCATGTTTTTTTAAATTATAATCATAGGCGTTATTATTAAATCAAATTCAACTTTCATGAGGTGGGGGAGGCATCAGTTTGTTAAAGGTGAAAAGTATAGTCATTGAAGGTTATATATATTACACAATTAAAAAATATCACATCCAGTGATTACATCATTCACATTACATAGATCACAGATTAACAAACACAACCAATTACCAGCCACTACGGCTCATATGATATGCAGACAAGTAGAGCATATCTTTTTGCTCTTTAATAAAGAATATCATTGACACCACAAGGGGGCTACCAAGCCCAATATAAGCCAAATTTAACACACACAGTACCCTATGGAAGAATGCTAAATTCTATGAAATTACTGACAATTTTATCAAGTATAAATAGGATGTGTTTTGTGGTGGAAGAGGGTGTGAAGGTCAGACATTTGCATGAAGACACCTTGTAAAGAAGGCATGTGAGAATGAATGTATGATGTATATAGCATTTATGCACTTTGAAAAAGCATCTGACAAAGACATTGAGGGACTCTAGAAAATGTATGGAGAACAATGTTCTATTAAATCATAAATGTCATAAGAAGCTTCTATTTAATACATTCATATGATGTACTCGTACATATGTACGAGTTATTGACATAACGAGTGACAGGTTTAATATTAATGTAGGTGTATATCAGAACTGTGTGATGCCACCCTTGCTGTTCAGAATATACATGCAGCTTCAGTCTTGAAAAGTCAACGTCAGAATATTGGAGATAGGTGTATACCTAGTACATGGGCCTAATATGAATAACTCAAGAATGTCAAATTTTACGTGCACAAATAATTATTTGACAAACAATCCATTAATTTACTTTAGAATCTTGAAATACAGTACTTAAGGTGTGGAAGATGGTCAGTAACAGACTGACCATGTAAATGTAAATTATAATTTCAAGTGGGGTAATCTGTAAAAATATGAAGAAAATTATATATTTTTTTATGTATTTTACAAGGGTATTGTGAGTAAATTACAATTTTACTATGTTTCATACATTTTCATACAATTTTAGGATATTTCATACATTTATTGACAATATTCCTATCTGGCAGAAAATATGGTAGACATTAGGAGAGCAAAACATTGTCAGTTTGATTAGCACCATGTAATAAGATACTGTAGCACAGAGAACACCATGCAGAACGACTCTATACCCTCCACTCTCTTAATACAAAGTAAATGGCCCACTTCACCTTCTTTCCTTTAGAGTTGATGCTTGCCATGGTGTCTTTGAGATCTTCTCCCTCTTCCTCAGATGAATATTCTAATGCATCTTGGTTTTGTTCCATTAACTCTCCTTTCTTCTTAGCATTAACTTTCTTTGCCATTCCTACAATAATAACTGGCTTCTTCATTCCCCCAGCTTCATTTCCAAATACTGAGGACAACAGAAGAATTTTTAAAATGTATCAATGTTCATAATCTGTGTGTGTGTTGTGTGATACTAAACTTTATATACTGCACAGGCTGAAGGCGAGGCAATTATGAGAAAGCAGCAAGCCAGTACAACTATATATTACATACTTGGATGAGATATGAGGATAAGGAGTTGGGATAGGACAGAGAGAATTAATGGTGAATGGAATGTACACTTGGAATTGTATGCGAACCCACAAGAGAGGCCGTTGCTGTACCAATCAGTCCAAGTGGCTCTAGCCGAAGCAACAGCTAATAGCACACAGTGTAATACACATCAGGTAGCTTCCCAATACACAACAGTAACAAGCACCTGTACAGCAGGAAATGTTGCCAAGTAGTCAACCTCCTGTCTGGCGAGAATCCTTCCACTAATACAACAATGCCTACTGTACAAGTGTGGTCTCTACAATACATACTTTGACACATGACAATCACAACACAATTCCATCAAATCATCTAAACAAGTACTTTACACACTACCCTTAAATCTACATACAGTCTTGACATACATCTTATTATATTTGCCTAACTTATTCTATATACAGTGCATTCTTTTAACAAGGCATATTTATTTTTCATTCAACTCTTGAGCTATATTCCACTTAGTCAATGACTACTTTTTTAATTCAGTAATATACCAAATACAAATTTGTTACTACACGCATTTGTCAATATTCTAATCTCTTATACATGACTACAGTATTGTACAGTGATTGTACTGTACTGTACAGTACAATACTGTACACTAACTGATTCGAACCTCGGTAACACAAATTTCTGGGTAACTCAGCCAAAATTATTGCCAAGTTTGACTGTCAGACAAAATCTGAACTATGGAGCTTACTTGTTGGGTTACTGAAAGATGCACGGCACCTTATGTTTACAAATACAGTAACATAGTGCTTAAAATACCATACAAATACATATACAAATATATTACCATTAACTATAAACTTTCATACTTACCACTTGTTTTCACTCCACGTCTCACACCTCCTCGAATGTCTACACGATTTATTTTTCGAACTTCTTCCTGAATGCCTGACATAAATGCATCGAGTGGGTCAACTTCATCTTCCTGAAATAGAGAAATGATAATTAACAATACAATATTGTAGATACTTCTACAAAAGTCTGTGTTTGAGAATTGTGAAGTGGTTACACCTTCATCTGAGTGTAGGAAAGAAAGGGCCAAGAAGAAAGTAGACACGTGTGGTGAGAAAAGATATTTCAAAATGTACAAGATGGTTATCTTGAGAGGTTATCTTGAGATGATTTCGGGGCTTTTAGTGTCCCCGCGGCCCAGTCCTCGACCAGGCCTCCACCCCCAGGAAGCAGCCCGTGACAGCTGACTAACACCCAGGTATTTATTTTACTGCTAGGTAACAGGGGCACAGGGTGAAAGAAACTCTGCCCATTGTTTCTCACCGGCGCCTGGGATCGAACCCAGGACCACAGGATCTCTGGCGCATTGCCGGGAAGAGGCAATGAACAGTACAGAATACTTTCACAATAGTGCCATTACTAACAATTTCTGTGACATTAATATGAGTACTTTATTCTTAGTCTATTAAAACTGCTGGGATACTGCTGGGATGTTCTGGTAGTGATGTGGTAGTGCTAGTGATACTACTGAGATGGCAGTGCTTCTTAAGTGGCAGTGTTAATTTTAATGGTGAGGTGGAAGTGGTAGTCATGGTAGTTTGCTAGCTTTGCTAGTAACTAATAATGCTAATGAGGTGGTACAGAACTAGTCATGCTGAAGCTGGTGTATTATGTTCAAATGATGATTGGACTTGGTATACGTCATTCCAATCATATAGAGTTGTAAAAATCATATTAACACAATTGGTGTACATATCATGTATATCATGTAATTATAGTGAAATTTGATATCATGATGATTACTGCAATAACATAGTAACATTTGTAATGATAACCGCGTTTGTATAGTAGGCAATAATGAAACGATGTCAGGATTTTTTCATGAGGCAGGGTAAACTCCACTACATCCATATAGGGATATTATATCCATATTAGCATCATTGGTATAAAACTCAAATAATATTAGTTTTAATCAATGTATGATAATAAATACATTACCCTATGAATCAATGTATTACAAGAACTATACTTTGAGGGTTAAGGATCTTCAGACTAGACTGAGGTGTCAGTGTTAACTTCTTTAAATTTATACCATTTAAAAATTAAAAAATATATTACACTTAAAAAAAAAAAACTCAAAATGCTGAGGGTCAAAACTTTACCCTAGCCAGTTTGGTATCACATTACCTCTTCCGGTTTACCATCACCCTCTTTGTTCTCGCCTTCTTCCTCTTCCTCATCATCCTCTAGACTCCAGGCTTTTATTGAGACTTTTGGCACATTGGCTCCTAACGTTCCTTTCTCTGCTTCCTTCTTGGCTGCTTCCAATTCCCGTTTCTTTTTCTCTGCTCTCCACTTCTCAATACGCTCTCTTCTTTTTTGCATTTCAGCTTCAAGGCGTTTTTCTGCCTCTTCCTGCAAGAACAAGGCACTGTAAATGATAAATCAATATTCAACAATTACATCTAGAAATAGAATAAAAATACCTTCTTCTGCATTTAATGTACATATAATACAAGTGAATATACTGCGCAATGGCTGAAGCCTCAAATAGGAGAGGACAAAAGGGCAAAGACGTCCTAAGAGCCAAGGCCCAAGCGGATTCCACAGAAAAGGCAAGCACCGCCTGCTGACACACAAGCCGGGAAGCATAAAACAGCCCAACCGCATCCCGCAAGATCAGCACAAAAAGCTTTAGCAAGGCAGCCGACGAGCGAGCCGCCGAGGCCAAGTCGCCAGAACCAGGAACAGCCCCAAGCGCCCTCAACATCCTCCGTGAGCCAGTCCGAAAACAGCTCGAGGTGGGAAAAGAAACACAAGGCCGAAGCCAAAAGGTCCCAGGCGCGCAAGTCCTCAGCCATCTGTGCCGCCAAAAGGGAGGGAACCTGCACATGGAGCTGAACGACACCAACATCCCAGGAAAGGGCAGGAGCAAACTAGCACTCATTGAGGTGCTCTAGGTGACCCCCCAGGAAAACTTGCAGCACCGTCGAAGCCTCCCGCCACTGAAGCGTGTGGGAACGGCAGAAGGCGTGCCAGGCATCCAAGGCATCCAAGATCATCCACAGATTAGGGAAATTGAGTCACCAGCAAGCAGCAAAACTCACAGGACTCAGGGTCGAAAGTGTCACCGACCCAACAGGCAATGTGACGGAGGCAAAAACCGTGAGGGTCGCCCTGAGACAAGGGGACTGAACAACCCTCAAACTCACATAAAGCGAGGGGGCACTCCGGGGTCGCATCCATCGGATCCACACGACCCCTAGGGAAATGCCAGGGTCCTGAGCGTTTACTATAAGAGGACTCGCGCTCAGGTAAACCCAGGCAGGGTACTGCTAACCGGTGCCCAAAACTACCAAACAAACTATCTACAGCTGAACCCCAGGAACATGTACGCTCACGGGGACCTAGCAGGGTGCACCACCATGTATCAGGATGAGGCCAAACACCAGTGGCAAGTAGGGCAGAACCCCCTACCAAGGCAAAAAGAAAACAAAACCCCGCAAAAAGGCAGCATACCCCAAGGAACAGAGCCGGCCGCTGTGATTGGTGACAAGCTGCACAGCACCCTGCATCCCTTACCAGTACAAAACTGCCTGCTACCCTAAGTTAAACTAGGGAGACTGTTATGACTCAGGATTCCATAGTTGGAAACCAGAGGTCAAATTGAGCTCTAAATAATTACTATACATTAATTCATAGAATTGGATCATGTGAGAAGGATATTTAATTACAATAACATTTATATCATGGCTCCTTAAACCGGAGGTATGCTTTATTCCCGTCGCCCTTGCCAAACGTAAGATTGCTCCCCTTGCCTCTCTGAAGGGACCAGGTTCTGGCCGTGGTCCTCGATAGGCCCAAAGAACTCCATACACATGACTGATGCCAAAGTCTGACATTAGCATATCAGCCTGGATAGCTCCGGGGAGCCATAGGGGCTTCCCCCAGAAATAAGACAATCACCACACAGAGGGCAAACACAACACTAATATATGATAACACAATAGACTAATTGATATTAAAGGATTAAAATTATGATTTGTTCTTCTAGTGTTAAAGAGAAATTCACAAGATTCATTGGGGTTAAATAAAGCCTTGTGCAGGCTTAATTGAACCATCATTAGTTGAAACAGCTCAAAGACAAGTGTGAATAAAAAGAAATAAATACAGGGTAGTAGCAACAGGAAATGCAAAAAAACAAAAGGATAAAAAGATACAACCTTCAGCAGCTTACAAGTGCTTCAAAAATTAGCACCTACATATTCATAACTCTATACAGTAATGTATAATAAACTTGATTAAAACCAAGAAAACTATCCTAAGCACCAAGTAACTACATTCCTGACTGTGCCATCTTCCATTAATATTCAACCAAGAAAGCTATGAATATGCATCAATTCTTAACTACTGTATAGTATAACTACAAAATCTGACCTTATCTACTTTGGAGGGATCAAAGTCAAGACCCGTCTCCTCCTCATCCTTGGGTTCTGCAGGCAATGGTTCTTGAGGCTTTGGAGGATGGGCGACAGGTTTGACTTTGGCTGGAGAGTGTGACTTGCTCCTCTTGCTCCTCTTTCTGTCTCTGTCTCGTGATCTGCTCCTACTCCTCTTCCTGTCTCTATCACGAGATCTTGACCTCCTATCCCTATCTCTTTCTCGAGATCTCGATCTGTCTCTTGATCTTGAGCGTCTATCACGGGATCTTGACCTCCTCCTCTCTCTGCTGCGTGACCTGTGGCGGTCTCTGGATCGGGATCGACGGGATCTGCCTCGATCCCTGTCTCTATCTCTATCCCTATCCCTGTCTCGGGATCTGTTGACACAATTATTAATTGTCAAACAATAAATATCAGCTGTAAGTGATTAAAGAAAAGCAAAATACAGTACATGAAAAGAAGATCCTGCAAGGCAATACTCTGATCAGGTTTATCTATCACCAGGAGCTTCAGGCCTCAGGCTTGGGAGCGAGAGCAAAAAGAAAAAAAAAAAGCCTGCAATGAATGTAATGAAACATCCTTTTCTGGGGGTAAGAAGGGGTAAGAGTGCTAGTGCACAAGCTGGAGATGCAGGCAGGAGTCAAAGGAAAGGTACTCCATTGGATAAGAGAAAAGCAACAAAAAACCTATAATGTTTCTGATATATGTGAATGATCTCCCAGTGGGAATACTCATTCCTCTCAATGTTTGCTGATGATGCAAAAATTATGAGGAGGATTAAGACAGAGGAAGATAGTATGAGGCTACAAGATGACCCAGACAAACTGAAGGAATGATCCAACAAATGGCTACTAAAGTTCAACCCAAGTAAATGAAAGGTAATGAAACTTGGCAAAGGAAACAGGAAGCCAGACACGGGGATACCAAATGGAAGATCAATTCCTTCATGATACGGACAGAGAGAAAGATCTAGAAATTTATGTCATGCCAAACCTGTCTCCTGAAGCCCACATCAAAAGAATAATATCAGAGGAATATGCAAGACTGGCTAACATCAGAACTGCCTTCAGAAACCAGTGTAAGGAATCTTTCAGACCCCTTGTATACCATATATGTAAGACCAATCCTGGAGTATGCAGCCCCAACATGGGGCCTGTACCTTGTGAAGCACAAGACGAAGCTGGAAAAAGTTCAAAGATATGCCACTAGGCTAGTCCCAGAACTAAGGCATGAGTTACAAGGAAAAGCTGCATGAATTGCACCTCACGTCATTGGAAGACGGAAGGGCTTGGGGAGACATGATCACCACATACAAAATTCTCAGGGGAATTGACAGGGCAGACAAGGATGGATAACACGGGTGGTACACACACACACAAGGGGATACATGTGAAAGCTGAGTACCAAAATGAGCCACAGAGACATTAGAAAGAATTTTTTTAGCATCAGAGTAGTTAGTAAATGATATGCACTAGGAAGAGATGTGGTGGAGGCTGACTCCATACAGTTTCAAATGTAGATACTGTATGACAGAGCTCGAGATGCTCAGGAATCTGAACACACATAGAAAACTGAGTATCCACTGTCCTACTTTACCAGTTATTCCTATTGACCTCACTTTGGGTGCTATCACTCCTTGGTCACATTTATCGAATGCTTTTGTGAAGTCTGCGTTTACCACATCTGCATTCTGCGTTTCTTCTAACGCTGAATTTTCTTCTAATGCAAAAGATTTTCTTCTAAATTTCTTCTCAGTGATTTTGCCGTAGTGGTCAAGTAGCTGTGAAAGGCATGATCTTTCTACTCTAAATCCATGTTAGCCCGGGTTGTGGAGGGCATTGGTCTCCATGAAACTGGTGACCTGACTCCTGATCACTCTCTCAAATACTTTTATTACGTGGGATGTTAGCACAACTGGTCTATAATTCTTTGCCAATGCTTTGCTCTCTCCCTTGTGTAGAGGGGCTATGTCTGCTGATTTAAGCACATCTGGTATCTCCCCCCCATATCCAAGCTCTTCTACCACACTATACTAAAGTGCTACTGGCACTTTACATTTCTTTATACAGTGACACCTCGACTTACGATTGCCCCGAACTACGATTTTTTCGAGTTACGGTGTAAATTTGGTCGGAAAACGCAATTCAACTTACGATGTCGTCGACAAACGATCTACGTTGATACGCATTACGGTCAACCGAGCGCATGGTTCCTGGTGGCACGGGCAGACCTGCCTCAGTTTACCAGAGCCACCCGCTTAGTGACGATCACGCTTGTAAGAAATTCCATCATTTTGGTGATTTTTTGTTTTTTGAACATAAAAGTAATTATTATATATGGGACCATGGGTCCCAAGAAAGTCAGTGGTAAGGTTCAACATATGAAAACACATGTAAGGATGACCATAGAGGCAGTACAAAATGTCTCTTCCTCAAAATTTAAGAAAATGTGAGCAGCATGGGAAGAACTGCAAACTTTTGCTGAAACGACTCACCCAAATCAATCTGCAGTAGGCCGTTGCTTTAACCTTTTCAATGATACTGTGATGCATCACTACAGACAAATGTTAAAACGAAGGGAAAACAAATCTCCATGGACAAATTTTTAATGAGACAAACAAGCAGTGAGCCACAACCAGGTCCTAGAGGTAAGCAGGCAAAACTTAGGAGAGAGTGTACCCAAGAGAAGTCATCACTGCCTGATGTTATAATGGAAGAAGACTCCCAAACAGTAACACCTCTCCTCCTCCCCCCCTCCTCACCATCTTCTATACACCAACAAGAGTCCTCGATAAAGGTAAGATAAACATATGTACTGTATTGTAGTTAGAGAAAAAATGGTATTCAATATAAAATGTATTTTTAAGTTATTTTGGGGGGTGTGGAATGGATTAATTGAATTTCCATTATTTCTCATGGAAAATTTGTTTCACCTTGACCCGTCTCTGGGAACAGATTAAAATCATAAGTCGAGGCCCCACTGTATACAAGGGTCCATACTTCACACATTTTCTTAATGAGGAAGGGACATCCTCTACTGCCTCTACTTACAACTATTTACTTAGGTTGAACCTTACTACTGTCTTTCTTGGGACCCATGGCGAGATATATATTAACAACTTTTATGCTTAACACTTTGGCGTACCCCGCGCTCCACCCTTCAACTATGCGATATGGGACCCAGGGTGTCACGGGAGCGTGCGTAAATTCTGAAAAGTGTATACTCTCTTCAACTTTGTCACCTTAATTCTCATCCTACGAGATTAAATTTGTTATCATTGTGTTCGCAATAGACTTCTCTACAGCACTAAATGCATATAAACTCCAAAAGCCCAGCTAATTACCCGCAGCAAACAGAGAAAGTGCGAATGATTTACCCAGGAGCGCGCAAACGCGATAAAATGTTTTCACTATTTTCACTCTGGTCACCTCAATTTTTGTCCTAGGTCTTTCATTTTGGTCTCAATGGGTTCGCAATAGAATTCTCTAGAGGAACATTAGCATATAAAATAAAAAACCTGGTCACGCTCCAACCGCCGACGAGTTGAAGACGGGCCACGCGTTAGCCGCGAGTGAGCGCTCAGATGCCTTCCAGCTACACTCCCAATTCCCTTCCTTTTCAAGCCTTTCTTTCGCAATTTTCTTCCTGGAAGGGCCTTGATCATGATCACTATCCATCGTGGAGTAAGCGTAGATAGTTTCTAAAGCCGCAGTAAGAAATATAGCTACGGAAAATAGACGAAATGTTCACACGTTTGAGATGTGAGGGGAGGCGACATTGGTCACAACAGTGGAGCGAAAACAATGGGCCGACGGCGTGTGCCAAGCCACCTGAGGGCCACGAGGCTCAACAAAGAAAATGGGAAGACATCAGCGCACATTTTAAAACCAGTCCCAAAAAAATCGGATAAAAACCTGATTTTTGGCGATTATTTGAAGTGGATGACGCAATGCTGCGTCATCCCCGGTATTACCGCCAGTAAACGGATGACGCAATGCTGCGTCATGCCCGGGCGAAAGTGTTAAATGACCAAAAATCCAACAAAAAACTGTAAATCCTTGTGAAGAATTCAGGCGGGATTTAGTCACTGGGCGCGAGGCACTGGTAAACTGAGGCGCGATCACCGTGCCACCACGTGCTAGGTCGGCCCGTATGCGTATCAACAAACTTGTATCCCAATGCAAATTTTCCGACCAAATCGGGCTCGTAACCCGAAAAACTCGTAAAGCAGGACACTCGTAACTCGGGGTTCCACTGTATATTGAATTCCATGAGTCTGGACCTGGGGCTTAGTGCATGGGGATGTTGTTAATTTCCCTGTCAAAATCTGCCATGCTCATGTTGACATCAGTGATATTAACAGGGCTTTGGATATCACGCATAAAAAAGTTGTCTGGATCTTCCACTTGCATGCTGTTTATTTGAGTGCTAAACATGTCCACATACGGCTTTTTTTGGATTTCAATAATATTCTTTGTCATCCTCAGTATATGAACCTTCACTCATATGAATAGGTCCAATACTGGCAGTGGTTTTATCTTTTGATTTCGCATATGTGAAGAAATATTTTGGGTTTTTCTTTATTTCTTGAACTGAGTATTGATGATAGTTTGCACTTCAATGAGCATGTGATCCTAGTACTGCATGTGGTATCTGAGATCGTAATGTCCCTGACTATATCTTCATTGTTTGCAAAGGCCAGATATAGAATATTTTTATTCCTAGTTGGCTCTGATATCTCCTGGTTAAGTGAAAATTTTTCACAGAATCTAAGTACTGTAGTTCTCAAATCTATGGTTGGTTGTGTCTAGATAGATTTCCTGGTATAATATTATTGTTTGCTATTCTCTATCTTAGATTAGGCAGGTTGAAGTCACCTAGGAAGATAATATGAGGTATTGAGTTTGCCAAATGATCAAGGTTATTCTCTAGTTTTGTTTATCTGTTCTGTGAATTCCTATGCTGTTGCATCTTGGGGTTTGTATATTAGAATAATAAGTAACTTTATTTTCTTTATGTTTACCCCCAGTACCTCTACCACCTTATTTGTCGAGTTAAGCAGCTCCAAGCGTACAAGGTCTTCCCTAATATATAGAACCACTCCTCCTTGTGATCTATTTACCCTATCACATCTGTATAGATTATATCCTGGTATCCAGATTTCACTGTCCAAGAATTCCCCTGGATGGGTTTCTGTGAAAGCTCCAAATACTGTACTGCATTTGATTCAGTGAAGAGGCCATTTATGAACAGTACTTTGTTTTTGTTATCTTGTTTTTAGTCCTTATATGTTGGCAATGATGAATGAGGTTACTCTATTTGGGGTAGTTTGACTGGGAGACTTTTTTGGCAGGTCCATTATGTGTGGACATATCGAGTTTGTTCTGACCAGTGCTGATCGCTGAAGGATTGTTGCCTGTCGTAGTTGTAGCTCTGTTGTGGTATAATTACCTAAGTGTAATTAGGTAATTACACCACTGTGTATACACAATACATGGTGTGTAATTGTATCTGTGATTATGGTATGCAAGTGGGTCTTTCATCCAGTTCCATACATTCTCTGTCCCCCCTTTTGACATTTCTTTCATCTTGGTATAAAAAAAAGTCTGTATATAATGTGAGTTCTTTATGTAACCTATGTTACGTTTGCAATCTTGGTTTAGCTCAAAAAAAAAAAAAAAAAAAAAAGTCAAATTGGTGGGAGATTTTCACTTAAAGAAAAGAACACTCCAAGTCTGACTCCTACTTCTAGGTCAGACGAATGGCACCATAAGTCAGGAGAGAAAGGCCAGAAACATATAACATTAGAGGGAAACAACCCCAGATATCTGACAAGGAGAAAGACCTATGAGATGGCATGACACTAAGCCTGTCTCCAGATGTATAAACAAACCAGGTAACAGAATTACACGCAAGACTGTCATACATTAGGACTGCCCTCATAGGCTTCAGGAAGGATTCATTGATGAATCTATGAACTATTTACATAACCAATCCTTCACTATACATTATCAGCATGGAGTACCAACCTAACCAAGGATGTTAAAAAATTAGACTAAATGATCTGCATCTCATCATACAGTTAGTGAAGAACAGGTGGTGTTACAAATGCAACTTACTAAATGAACTTAGGTATAGTTAAGGTGGACTATTTCAAACTAGGCGTGACCTAGACCAGGGGCTATAGATAGCAGATCAAAACACAGTTTCAGTGTTAGCATAGTGAGGAAGTGTAATATGCTAGGGAAATAATACTGTAATTTAAGCTAACTTCTTGCATGCTTTCAGAGGTAGGTATGATGCAATGCAACCATGCCAGTTGATTAAAGGTTAAGAGGCAGGCTTAGGAGACTCAACCCCTCCCCACCCCTCAATATATATATGGCATAAGTGCCACACACATGATGGTAAACATGAACACACTTTTTAAAACCGATATTTTATCAATAAATAAATATTCAGTAAGCTGGTGCATTACATTTTACTGTATTTTAAATTTAAAAACTGTATTGAATACAATATACAAATGTCCTATAATATTAAATAATAATATAATAATTGTATAAAATTATGACTGTGTAATACTGTAATGAAGTCTTAAGAAATCAAACTTACCGTGATCTTCTGCGGTCTGGAGTCCGAGAACGGCTACGAGACCTCCTGCGCCTAATACAAAAGATAAAATAAATAAATCTATCATACTGGTTAACATTTTGAAAAATATATTACACAGTGCAATACAGCACAACGAATTTTTGAGCATTACCATTATTTATTTATATAAAGTGGAACTTTGGTGTATGATTGCATCTGAATACAAATTTTCTGGGGTATGACGAAATTTTTTTCGGAAAATATGTACCTGTATTTTCGACATCCGTGTATGACATTTGCTCCAGTGTACAAACTACTTGTTCATAATTGTCTGAGTTGGTAAGATCATTTTACACTTGTAACCTGCCTAGTGATAACTGTGCTAGAATTCTCTGTTAACAATTTGCCAAAAGATCAAGGTTATTCTCTAGTTTTGTTTATCTGTCTGAGGAAACTGGACAGTTTTCTGCATGAAGTGCTAGACCAATCATGCTGTAGTGCAAGCTGCTCCAAGCAACAGCCTGTTGGGCCAACAGAGCCTTGATTCCCTAGGCTTGGGGAGTAGAAGAACTCCCAGAACACTCTCCAGATAAGATCCAGGAAAGAATATATGTCCAAGTGGAAAACCATGTAAGTGCAATATGGATAAAGGCAGAGCCATGGGAAGGGAAGGGCAGGGCAGCGACATAGGTCAAGACACAGCAGGAACTAGGGCAGAACCAGTCACAATCCAAAATGACTTAATAAAACCTGGTAGCCACCAGAACAACACAGAGGGCACCATGTAAACAATCTACCTCACTGGCTACTTTAAAAGCTTTAAAAATAAAGTGACTATAGCATTTTCAAGGGCTATGAATTACGACTTAAGAGCAAAGAAATGTGGATGGAGTGAAGAAACATAACCCAGCCACCTATCTTGAGGTTATCTTGAGATGATTTCAGGGCTTTTTAGTGTCCCCGCGGCCCGGTCCTCGACCAGGCCTCCACCCCCAGGAAGCAGCCCGTGACAGCTGACTAACACCCAGGTACCTATTTACTGCTAACCTAGGCCAATACAGATCAAATGGTGGCCATGTCAGAAGCGAGGTCGTCGCTCTAACCACCAGTCTAAGTGTATGGCATCTATACTTAAGTGTAGAGAAACGACTGAAATTTCACGAAAATTGAGCAGGTTGGAGCTACGACTCTGTCCCCACCCACCAGTCCAGTCTCACGTGTATCTCACCTTATAAGGCTCTAGAACATATTAACACTAATCTAAACAGTAACCATAGGAGTGTAGCATATGACCTTACCTGCTATCTCGCGACATTGTGTAGTAATCTGCTTGTGAGGCGCTTGTGGCTCCCTTAAGGATACAACGCTGCTGCCCGCTCCGACACCTTCCTTAACAACCGCTCACGTTACACACAAACTTTCATTGCAAATGTTTCCATTAATATACTAAATATATTATAACCCGCTCATTATTAGTTAAACAACCTTATTATGATATTATTCATATTAAACAAATGCGTTTAGATGAGAGTTCAATTTCACTCTAAATATTGTATATTGAAATACAACTTTAAATCACCCGTATTTAGCTGAGCTTTAAATTCGGAGAGAAATCTAGCTGTAGGAGGAGAGCTGCCCGGGTCCCTCAGCTGCCAGGCGGAGCAGCGGCGCCTCGTCTGGTCTGGCAGCAGCCCCATTCATTCTCTGTACTTACCTAAGTGTGCCTGCCTAATTGTGCTTTAGAAGGTGATGAGAGGTGCTAATGTGGACATGCTTGGATTTGATGGTGTAAGAAGTTAAAGCGTGTTAACTTAGAATATATACCTGAGAGCCACAATTTTTTGCCAGTTGATTGATATACCTGAAGTATACTTTGGAATTACGGCTTCAGTGGATAGGCAATGCCCTGTAGGTTAAAAAGTATATCCTGTTTTCTCATTTACACTGTGGCTTGTTGAGCTTAAAATTAGTGATCCATGTGTGTGATACAATGGATCTTTTAAAGGAGTGTTCTTTATTAATATCCTTCAATTTGTTCAATAATAATAATAATAATAAATAATAATTTTTATTTAGGTAAAGGTACATACATAAAGAGATTTTACAAAGTTTGTTGGCTTTATAGATAGAGCTAGTACATACAATGCCTAAAGCCACTATTTCTGACCAGGGGGAGAAAGATACTGGCAGTATGGGGCGTTAAAGTTTATTGAAGATTAAATTCTGCAGAACATGTAAATATATAAAGTTCACATAAAGTAAGTAATTATATAAAGTTTATATTAAACACGGTTTATATTATAGACTTAACAAAGTTGATATTATATAAAACTTAATATTGAACATGTAAATATACAAAGTTTCAAATATAATTTAAGGAATATATAACGTTTATATTAAAATATATAAAGTAAATATATAAAGTAAATATATAAAGTAAGAATTAACAGTAACAATTCCAAGGACTAGATTTAACTTAAAAGGTACACCCGTAGTAAGTATGAGACCTTAGCCTATAGTGACATGGAAACTAATTCTGCAGAAACCTAAAGGTTAACTGGTACTAGAATTAAGGCCGAGTGCAAATGTGAAGTAATTATATAACACTAGGATATAACAGGCAGGACACAAAGAATAACTAATAAGTGAGAGACCACATAACACGTAATGTACCCGGCCAAGAGGCCGTAAAAGACCTAATGGATAAGGAGAAGGGGGTGTGACTACAAGTAGGGCTTACTAGCACCTAGACTGGGCAAAGTATTAGCTGCGGACAGCGGGACACTTGGGGACCGGCGCTGCACCCCCACCGCAGGCCAGCGGCCGGACCCCCCCCCCCCCGAAGGGCGAGTGCCAGCTGGCCGCGTGAGGCACTCAATGTAGCAGAGCAACAACGTCCCGTCTGACGTAGGATGTGAGCACTACTCTTCCGCCTGCCGTTTGCCATTATTTCTGATGTGGCGAGCCCGTCCCGAGACAGCTGGGTGCGGAGCGTAGTCATCTGGAATCAAGCCTAGCGCCGAGAGGGCAGCGCGTAGGATCCTGGAGAAATCTCGCCTGGTGACAGGAGCGCTTGTAGGATCCGAAGAGTGTTGATTCCTGACCATGTAAGCGATACCTGGTCCAGTCGGAGCGTGCGTCGATTTTTTGTCGCGTAGCTCACCTCCCCCGGGCTGAAAGATATAAGGCAGTAAGGGTGGGCAGAAGCGGCGTGCAGTGTTATCGTGACAGGCAAGAGCACAGACGAGAGGGAAACCCTAGCTGAATCAATACGGAGACGAAAAACGGGGGAGGGAGCCCGGCAGCAGGAATTAAGAGAAACCTTAATTAACAATCCTGGATGAATAAAGAGCATCCGAATAATTATACTGTAGCAATGAAGGGGGGCTAACAAATCTAAGAATCTTCCAGCAAACGGAAGGGGGAAGTACCTTTGCTAAGAGCAAAGGTGGGAGAAAACCGGTAGAACAGCAAGGAGGCACAAAGCAACTATAACAGGGTAAGACGAAACACTATAAATCTTGAATATAAACAATACATATACCAAGAAAGGGTATAACAACTAAGCAACATATACATAAACAATAAAATGGAATAAGAACCAATTCTTAAAGCCAAATCTATAACATGCTTGTGTCCTAATCGGATGTAGAATGTGAGCGGGGAACATTACCCTTGGTCTCTATCCCATCTCTGCCTCCAGACGGGTGATTGGGCTGGATAGAAGCCAAGGAGTCTGCCTTGAGTGGCCGCTGAGTGTAGTCTTGTGTTGTCAATGAGCGTCTGCGAGCCGCAGCTAGTACGCCGTGAACTTCGGCAACATCTTTAGAACAGGAGCAAAGTGAAATCGACGGCAGGGAGCTGCCATTCAGTAACTGTAATAAGGATAATAATAAGAATACAATGTCGTAAATAATCGTACAATGAAGAATACAATGTAATATCGTAAATAACAGATGACGGCAAGTGCCGCAGAATGGAAGAAATTAAGAAAGCAACGCCAAACCATAATAACAATTTATATTTTAATAAAATAATACTGGAATGACAGTAACGGTACGGAGTAATATTAATACTGCCATATAGCCCAGCAAATAAAGAGAAGATAATAGTATTAACGTAGGCCCTGGGCGGCTGCATCCCGGCACCGCTGCGTGCGTTGATGGTGATCAGAGGAATATCCGGCTCGCGTTCTCTTCCTCGCCGCAGTAGGGTGTGAAGGGGGGGGGGGTTCCGGCTTGTCGTGGCTGCGAATAAAGGGAACAGAAGAAACCGGCATTGAGCGCCAAGCGGGCAGAGCGCAGTGGAAGGAATAGCGGTTGGAGGTAAGGGGCCCCTAACCTAATGATAGATGAGGTAAAATTAAATAGAATACTATTACGTAGTAGGAAACAACAATGGCGAAGGAACAAGAAGAGTAAAATAGCCCAGAAGGCCGGATGGCCAAAGAACGTTAGCGACCTATGGCCAACAGCATGCTGGCTGCGCTGGCCAACCACAAGCTGGCCGACGTCATGCTAACTGACTGGCTTGAGCTTGCCGAAAGGAAGGCCGAATGGCCAGTTTTTTGCATGACACCGTGCGCGAGGCCATGCTAAACTTCTCGGTAGCATCCAAATGTAACTTAATGTACTGTCGATACGATGAAGAATGGGTGGTCAGATATAATGCACAAAATTCAGAATAGAATAAGTAGAGGGCAGGGGTTTTGCGAGGGCAGCGGCGAGGGCAGGCAGAGTGAGGCGGAGCCCCGTTGTGCGCCCGTATTTATACGGCCCCAAACTGCCCGCGCAACGCCGCGGGACGCGCTGCGCAATTGTTTCTTTCTCCCCCGCCAGAAACATCCCCGCTTGTGATGCAAGCAGTGACCATTTACGCAAAGCGTAATAATAGGAAGGAATATTTTAAAAGTCTTGGTAAGATCAGCCCGGTCGTATCTGGTTTGTAAATGTTGTTAGTCATGTGGCCTTCAAGTGTTCTTGGTATAAAAGTTGACATAGTTCTGGAATATTTTTTCCTACCTCCGTGCTAAAAAAAAAAATCCAATAGCAAACGGCGTCATCCGTTTGTATGCGCTGTGTTTCATACGTCGGTAGTATGTACATGTTCATACGTAATTCTCTGCTAAATATCCCCAGTTTGCTAACAGATGTTTATTCAGATGTTTATTCAGGTAAGGTATACACATACAAGTGATGTTACATTAATGGATTGATATATAGATAGAGCTAGTACATACAATGCCTAAAGCCACTATTACGCAATGCGTTTCGGGCAAACTGTAGATTCAGACAGATTCTTTATTCAGGTAAAGGTACATACATTACAGGGGGGTAGAAATAGCCTAAGATACTCTATCCCTTCGAGATGTATTTCTTTCTTATCTCAATAAACATACTTGAACTTGATATACATTACAGATGAGTTACAAACATAATGTTGGATTTAAAGAAAGAGCTAGTACATACAATACCTAAAGCCACTAGTACGCATAGCGTTTCGGGCAAGGTGAGGGGGAAAAAGCACTTAGACTAAAACTTAATACTAATTAAGATTAAAAGTATAAATTGCGAATTTAGGTTTATAAATTTGCAAATTTATACCTAAAATTAAACCTCGCGACTGCTGGAGGTTCACCCAGCGTCTCTCCTCCATTATTGACGCTACCTTAGAGGATACTGGGAAACCACTGTTGCATACCACACATTTAGATCATGAACGTCACCCGGTCTTAGAAGAGGAACCAGAGGGAGTTTTCCTGAACTGTAAACATGCAGGAAGGAAGGAAGGAAGGAAGGAAGGAAGGAAGGAAGGAAGGAAGGAAGGAAGGAAGGAAGGAAGGAAGGCAGGCAGGCAGGCAGGCAGGCAGGCAGGCAGGCAGGCAGGCAGGCAGGCAGGCAGGCAGGCAGGCAGGCAGGCAGGCAGGCAGGCAGGCAGGCAAGCAGGCAGGCAGGCAGGCAGGCAGGCAGGAAGGCAGGCAGGAAGGCAAACAGATTGGAGGCGAAACGCCGCCAACTTACAGAGGTAAACAGAGACCATGCCGGCACCACGCGGCCTCAAGATCAACCTCCACAGCTCAACCGAGGTAGGCCAAGTTCTTCTGATTTGCAAACTTTCATCATTGCCTTTGATGGCGAATAGGAAAATGTTTTCAGAAATAACAGGGCACAAAGTATCTTATATAATGCCATTCCCAAGATATTCGGGATCAACGTGCACGATATGAGACCTAATAAACAAAAGAACTTGATCGCAGTGGACCACAAACACGGCGAAGAACTAGAGCTTTCAGACATTACTGACATCTGTGGCCACAAAGTCAAGTGCTACAAACCACTAGGGGAGACCGATTAACAAAATATGTAATCCGACATGTGGTAGACATCACTGTAGACCACATCGAGGCAC